ACAGACTTTATGATCCAGTGGCCAAAAAGGTGGTGATAAGTAGAGATATAGTATTTGAGGAGGATAGACAGTGGGAGTGGGACACTAGCTATGAGGAACAAGTCTTGGTAAATCTTGAGTGGAGTGATGATGACAAGAATGACACAAACAATGATGAAGGTGATGAGAATCTTGATGTTGCTAGTGAAGGAAATGAAGAAGCTGAAAGAAATGAAAATCATGCAGTTGCGAATGATTCACCTAAAGGAAATGAAGCTTATTTCATTAGTGAAGGCCTTCAAAAGTGCCCAAATGAGCAGACTTTATTCACCAAGAGGAGCAGTGTAGGTAAAATCTTGATGGTAAGTATTTATGTGGATGATCTGATTTACACTAGTGATTATGAGGATATGATGTCTGATTTTAAGAATTCTATGATGAAAGTCTTTGACACGACTGATTTGGGAAGAATGAGATTCTTCCTTGGCATTGAGGTACTACAAAAACCAGATGGCATTTTCATTTGTCAAAGGAGGTATGTTGCTGAAGTGTTGAAACGTTTTAGCATGTTTGAAAGCAAGCCTGTAAGCAGCCCAATAGTACCAGGTTTCAAAATGAGCAGAGATGATGATGAAATTGTAGTGGATGCGACGAATTTCAAACAAATGGTGGGAAGTTTGATGTACCTCACAGCAACTCGTCTAGATATAATGTTCAGTGTCAGTTTAATCAGCAGGTACATGGCTAAACCCACTAAACTTCACTTACAAGCTACCTAAAGGATTTTGAGATACTTAAAGGGCACTACAAACTATGGAATTTTGTATAAGAAGGGAGGGAAAGAAGAAGAGTTGCTTGCTTTCACGAATAGTGACTATACAGGTGATACAAAAGATCGTAAAAACACGTCTGGTTATGTGTTTTTTTTAAGCTCAGGTGTCATTTCATGGCTATCCAAAAAACAACTCATAGTTACATTGTCAACCACTGAGGCAAAATTCGTGGCTGTTGCATGTGCCTGCAAGGCAATATGGATGAGGAGAGTGTTGAAGAAGTTGAGTCATGAACAGAAGGATTGCACCACTATCATGTGTGACAATAGTTCAACGATCAGACTTTCAAGAAATCAAGTTATGCACGGAAGGAGCAAACACATTGATGTGCGATTTCATTTCTTGAGAGATCTTACAAAAGATGGTGTAGTTGAATTAATTCATTGTGGAACTCAGGAGTAGCTGGCTGATTTGATGACAAAGCCATTAAAATTAGAAGCATTTCAGAAACTCAGGAAGATGATGGGAGTGTGTGAAGCTAGTGATATAAACTAATTGCAGTTTGCAAATTAGTTTTAGGGACGGAGGGAGGGTATGAAGAGATCGTTGTTTACTTAGTCTTTTTGTGTTTCAATAAATCCTTGTCTTTAGGATGAGTCCTAGTCTTTAGACATGTTATTCATTTTATTTTGTTAATCACGTAGTTAAGATAAAGCTGATGTGAGCTGTTTTTATTCTTTCAGTTACAGTTGTAAATGACTATTAAAGGCAAGTTGAGTCTTCAATAAAAGCAGAGAAGTCATTCAGGTTCTTGTGATTCTAACAGACACAACACCGACCGCCGTTAAATCCCAACCGTCCTTTTGCAATTGTGAGTTTTCAATTTTGGCCGTGGTCTGTTTGGAAGGAAACTAAAAGGGTCCACCTTCACATGTATCTAACTATTATAATCATAATCAAATTTTTTTTATGTGAATATTATCCATCCATTTGGTCTAGTTTTTTATAATTGAAATAAAAAATTTAAAATATGTTTGCATTACTTTTAAATTGATTTATGAAACTACAATATATTTTTTTTTAAATTAAAAACAAAGTTACTTTTAATCTTTGGTCTGATAAAATTATTCAATGTTTCAATCAGATGCAAAAGAAAGATGTTACGTCCAATGAATTCACTCTTAAAAAACGGAATTGTTGACTGTGTGTGTATTTTTTTTTTTTTAACAATAGCATAATCAACAATCCTATTTTTTTTAAAAATGTCGTAATTTGATATATTCTAAAGTGCCGCAATTTAATAATTTTGTTTTAAAATTATCGTAAATTGATAATTAATTTGTTTCAATTTTTATCAAAAAAGTTTTGATATTCCATGAATTGAAATATATGGTCCAACCTGATGGGCCTATGCCAGACTAGGCCCAGCTTAGAGGTTCAGTGTAGAATCGTAGACCAGACAGCCAATATAAATGGATTCCCATATCCCAAGCAAACCATGTCAATGAGATCTCAAGTAACGTAGACAGCTAATCAGGCTTAGCCTCTGGTTGAAAGACTTTAAATTTAACACCTACATTTTCCATGTATTATAACACCACATCTATCAATCTCCACTTTGTCATTGAAACATACAGTTTCTTGCAAACAAGCTTTCCCAATAATTTTTGATCCCTAACGAATCAAAAGACTAGCTAGCAAGGCCTTCGACTATGAGCTTGGACTACGTTTCTGTGGGTTTTCACTCCAAAAAAAAAAAAAAATGAAAATACCAACAGAAAATTAGGAAATGAGAGAGCAATAAGCAAACCCCTTTAACTACACTCACATATGGTACAGACTAGCAAGATTTGATCAGAGTTTAGTCTGAAATGTCACTGCACTAACAAAACGCATATCTAATTCCGTACCATGGACATAATTCAACGTTATCATTCGATAGAAAGTAGGACTATTAATTTTTAACAGCCTCTGAAACAAACCATAACATAAGACCCATCCATTTCTAGCCGAAAGTACGCTTTCAAAGGGTTTAGCTAGCAACGCAACAACTAATTTAAAGTAAAATTTTCATAACATTAGATGATCCACTTCTTTCCATAGCAGCACCACTGTTGAGAACCTCTAAAGATGATCAACTAATAAGCACTCACAAATGCTGCTTCCGTAGAAAACATCGGGGCATGAATTGGGTTGTTCAACAATGTAAATCTTTAGAAGCCCACCCAAAACTGCCCATGATCAGAATTACTGAATATCATTCTAGCATTATTTTGAAAATTGCAATAACTTACTGCTTCCACTAGTCGGCCAACACAGTCGAGAGAAGCAGGTCTTGGATAAAAACAGACCTTCCAGCAGCCTGCCTAATTCTCTTTTCCCGTTCTTCATGACTCAATGATTGATCAAAACTGCAAGGAAGGGGAACATAGAAACGCGGACAAACAAAAAAGGGGGGGGGGGGGGGGGGGAGGGCGCTACTGTTAGAAATAAAATAAATCTAGAAGACATCGTTTGCAGGAGCTCAGGTGCATCAAACATGAGGGAGTGAGTCATTTAACAAAAGTAATGATTCAAGTAACTACGTGATCTATCTTAAAGCAGTCCCAAGATTTACGATAAGTATTGTGTGATTAGACAACCAAAAATTAGACAATGACAGAGCGTCTTGTGATAGATTGATCGACGCCTGAAGAAGGCTCGACCGAAGGAATGAGTCAGAAGGTGAATTGAAAGCCCCTACGACAAACGAACTTATGCGCAGAGCATTTTCGGGGACTAGCCTCCTTCCTTCTTACTTGACTTCTAATTCTATTTTTTTTTCTTGCATTTGAATAACTTCCTCTTTATCGCTCATGAAAAACAAGAATAAATATATTGGAAGAAAAAGATATAGACAACCCATGTGAAAATATGGCCTCAATATTCTTTGGGTATCTGCAAGGGATCATTTCCTAGCACACTCAGCAAATGGCAACGACATGGGGTGAGAGCCTCTACGACAAGCAAGTATACTAGCCACTTTACAATGTGCAATCTTTCCTAATAATTGTCAAGTGAAACAAAAAGTACTATGGAACTTATGAATAACAAGCTCTCTTTTTTTGACATGATTAAGCCTAATGTATATTACTTTACACAACTCCAAATCTTCTAATTAACAATGTCATGAATTACAGGTACATTGCCTACTATATCCTTTGGCGGTCCACCATACAACTAACTCTTGTGCGCTACGGAAAATAGTAAATGTGTATGCAAGTTGCAAGGTGCTCAAAAATCGATGAGAAGTGCAAGGTTCTCTATGAGACAGAAAAATAACTTGATCCATTACCTTGATTTCCATATATGTTGTGACGGTGTACTCTTCATAGAAGTGTCCTCAATACTGGATACCACAGATTTTGAAATGTCTTCTGCTTCAGATGCAGGGAAGTTCAGAGCAAGTGATGAAAGGAATGGATCAGACACTGCATTAGATGAAGTAGCACTATTTGACCGGTAGCCACTACCCCCTAGAAGCACCTGCAGATGGGCCTCGCGAAGATCCCTGCCCAAAAGGGAAAGTGCCTGACTGTTGGGAATTGCAACTCTACGTAATCTGCGACGTCTCTGCAAGTGATCACAAGTTAAAGAAAACTCCAAGGAATTGAAAATGGTGCAAGATTATCAACAGTGCGCCTATAGGCATATTGTTGAAGCTGTAAGGACAAGTTACACACTAATGATTCTTCCATTTCAAAGGATATCTTGAATAGGTGTCCATGTTGAATCGTGATATGACTTAACATGTCACTTGCAACTTTAACAGAGCAAATGGGACAAACCTGCAAGGTAAGAGTAAATTCCGTATGAGATTCTTGTCATGAGAAATTACTACATAAATACTACTAGCAGTGAATCTTTAAGCAAGAACAGTCAAGACATCTTTACTCCCTCTCCTGGATTAATGATTAATTATTATTTTCACAAATCATGACTGTTCAGAAAACCAGAACCCCACTCATGCCGTGTGACATGGAAATAGCAGAGGCTTAGATTGATCAAGCTCTGCAATCATACTGGTCAATTGACAATTCCCCTTAATCAACAAGAGGTTGGAGGTTGAAAGTTGAAACCAAACATAAAAGCAGAACCAGAACCAAGAGAAACTCATCAAACAACTCCAAACTAGGTCACTAAGAAGTAAAAAGTCAAAGGGTTACATGGCCATCACAAGTGACAGAACACTAACCTGGCTCACAATGGTTATACCCAGTTCCACGTTACACACACAGTTTAGCCCATAGCAATGCTGCAGGTGATGGTGACTAAACTATGGAGTCATTACCCATGTCATTGGAGGCGCAACAAACTAGGCATATTTTACTCAGTTGTGCTTCCCCACTAAACCTTCATTGCCCCTCAAAGTAATGATATTTTCCTAGATCTGCATTAACACCCTTACAACAACTTTTTCTATAATACCTCCTTTCTTAGACTGTTACTGGCAGTTCAATGGAATCATCAATCTTTCCCTTTAACACTTGTAATAATGAAAATAAATCTCTCTGAACCAAGAGATGAACCACTTCATGAATTTTCAGAATTATCATCACATCAGCATTTCAACTAGAAGATGAGAAGGCCAGACAACTGAGCTACTAAAAAATAAATTCTACTCAACAAGCAGCCACTAGGATCTTGTTGGAAACCTTCTATAACAATACTTAAATCATTCATTTTTCCACGGGGTCTGTGCAGAGGAGTTAAATATGATCAGCACCCACATCTTTAGATTAAGATATTCATCATCAAAAGGAGCTGATACAAAATCAATCAACGAGGCCCTACCAACTAAAAACACATACTACCAAAAGTATCATATCGCACATTGCCTTAAACTGGAATGCAAGGAAGTAGAGAATAGATCTAACTCTGGACCTAAAGATATCTGATCTGTAAGGGAAAAGGAAGGGTCTACTAACTTCAATTATTCAAATGAATCTCATTCCCAGTGGACATTTGTGATAATCTCCATCGGGATCCACTGTTTTGGACTTTAATCTTTACGTCTCTTAAAGCCTATGCTTCAGCTTATAGCAGAAGGCAGTAGCTCACAAATCATATGCCCATTTAAGTCTGCCATCTCATGATACCTAATTTCTTCTGATTCCATTGAATCAAGATCGTCAGTGTGTATATGTGTTCAGAAATCTCCTTTGACCATTTATTAATATTGTGATGTAGTATTCAATTAATCAACAGCCTCAGCTTGAACATATAACTGGTGTTGCTTATTCACCATTCACCATTTTGTTTGCAAGTCAAATATGATGTTGCTTATTCACCTCCAAAAAACATACTCCTATCATTTGAGACCATTTTGCCGCTACAAGAATGAAGCAGATAATGCATTCCTAACATTGTTTAAACTACAATAATAAATAAATATACACTAACAAGTAAACCTCAGCAAGATTCTGCCGTGCATCCAATGTGGTTTTGCCGTGGAGAGATTCCTTATTTCTCCCCAAAAAAAAATCATACTTTAACCTGGTGGCTTTGACAAACTTAGTTTGCAGACAAACAAGTGATAACCTATCTATAACACCAACATAGTCACCTCTCATCATATCCAACACCCCCTTATGCAGAAATGGAAAACATGGTCACCTCCGATCAAAGGTTGGCCACCCACGGCATGGTCTGGTCCTATGTTTTACTAAGATTCGAACTCATTCGTCCTGTTACCACTTGAACCACCCAAAAAAAAAGAAGAAAAGAAATGGAAAACAAAAACAAAAACAAAAGCACAAACGCAGAAGCACAAGACATACAGAAACTGAAATTTCGATCTTCATACCATTGAAATTGGAAAAATAAAATCTTTAGCAGAAAATTAGATTCTATTGGCCCCTTTTAAACAAAAGTACAACAAAGATCAAATATTTTCAACAACAAAAGCAAATCAGAAAGCAACCCAAAAAGGAAAATACAACAAAGTTGTAATTACAAAAAGAAATAAGCTAAAAACACATAGATGCATTTAATATACACATCAATACAGATATCCACAAATCTATATGAAACTGCTGATCTATATAGAGAAACTCACGGTGGCTTTTGACTCGCAAGAGTGCTCATCTTCTAGATGTGAGCACAGAGAGGCAATATCAAATTCCTCGTAACAATATGGGCATGGAAAATCAGGTCGGACCTCTTCTTCAACCTCAAAATCATCGATGTTCAACCGATCTGAAAAAAACAAAAACACCCATGAAACAACATGCTTTCAAAATTTATTTTATGGTCAATCAAAAGCAATAGAAGCAAAAAAAAAAGAACAAACCCAGTTGAGAGTTGTGATGGCTGTGGTGGTGGTGGTGGTGATGGTGATGGTGATGGTGGTTCAACGAGAATTGCCTCTTAGCGGCAGCCAGGCGAGAGGTCCAAAACTCAGAATCCATGAAGAAACAGGGAAAGCGAGCGAGAGAGAGAGACAGAGCGAGCTGAAAATGAATGGATATAAAGCAAGAAAATTTGAATAGTTTTTTGATTTGTGTTTTTCTATTGTTGGAGTTTTTATTTTTGTTTACTTAAAATATGTTTTGGGTATTCGAGAGTTGTTTGACTTTTTCTTGGTATTGGATGTTAATCTCTGGGGAAGGTTCAGACTTAGATACGACGTTTGTACTGTAGGGATAGAGAGGGAAGAGAGAGAAGGGGGGGGGGGGGTATCTGGATTTTTCAAGTCATTTGTTTTCCTCTTCACAAAAAGGTTTTTAAGTTTTGTTTGGTTTTTATATCAAGTTGTCTGTATTTAGAGGATAAGAAAGTTGATTTGTCCGTTGGTTTGGGTTTATGTTTCATAGGCCGGCGGACCACCGATAATCATCCTACAGACCAAATTAATGAGAGAGAAAGTGAGGAAAAAAATATACATTGCAACGGTAATTTCAGTTCAGCATTATTATATAGTATCACTAATTAATAGTACGTAGATAAATAAATAAACGAATTTCGCATAAATTAATAATTACATGTCCATATAAATTAATAATTATCCACTTAGAGTTCACTTTCCTCATTTAAAATTTTATTATTATTTATTTATATCATGTCATCAATATTAATATAATATCACCAGTGTGTTGAATATTCTCTCAAAAGTGAGAAAGAAAGAGAGAGAAAAACATGCAAATACTTATTTTTACTTATTTCTCTTCTCATACATAAGAATGTAAATAGTTTAATTAATTTATTAAATAAAAAATTAAAAGAATATTGTATCGGAGAATTTCACTCTCATATATTATTTTGTCTTTTCAACGAGAGAAAATTTGTTTGTCAAGGGTTTAAGAGGAACTCTAACCCACTCTTTATTTTCTATTTCTTAACCATTTTGCCGAGCTCAACACAAAAAAAATCTTCAATTCATTCTCTATTTCTCATTTCACTAAAATGGCTCTCCAAATCTGGCAAGCCCTTCGGCCTCACAAAAACCCCTCCCCATTTTCCCTTGCCTTGACTCTGCCTCTATCCCCGCCTATCGGAATCGGACTAAACTTTTGGAAATCGCCACAATCTAATGTTTGGTTATTATTTTCAATACAATTTTTTGTTCTCAAAATTTTAAAAATACCCAAAACTTGTTTCCTTTACATTTTTGTTCTCAAAATTTTCAAAAAAAAAAATAAAATTTAAAACACAAAAACAGAAAACGAGTCGCACTTTGCCCAGCAAACCGAATGAAGACCCTTGTCCTGCTTTTAACGGAGAGAGTAATTGGAGAACCTAATGCACAGAGGCTCTGTTGCTTAAGCATCTGTAAGCCTGAACTTGGTGGCAAACCAACTGTAGGCTTTGTCATCATACCAGATCCACCATTTTTTTCGATAGAACAAGCATCAGATCTCTCCGGCGAAGTTTCAGATCTCTCCACGTTGTGGGTTTCGGTGGTGCTTTGTGGGTTTTGGTAGTGGTTGTGGGTTTCGGTGATTGTGAATTTTGGTGGTGGTTATGAGTTTTGGGTGGTTGTGAATTTTGACGGCGGTTGCTTTGTGGTTTCAGCAGTGTTCGGTGCTTTGTGAGTTGCACAGTGAAAGAGAGAGAGAGACAGAGAGTTGAAGTGAGAGTGAATTATTGGCCAAATAAATTTTATAATTTTATTTTTTAAAATTATTTTTAAAAATATATAACTAAATAAGTTTTACAATTTAAAAATTTTTAAAAATATTTTCTTAAAACTCTTCTCAAAAATAAATTTTAAAAATTATTTTTTGAGATACAAATTAAATAAACCCTAAGATTCACAACCAAAATTGTTTGTCATCGTCGACTTTGCACGAGAGAGAGAGAGAGAGAGCCTTTGGGTTTCGATGTAAGAAATCAACAAAAACTGTCAATATTTTTTATCTAATAGCATTTCTCTTATTTTACGGAAACGCAAAGAGATTATGTTAATGCAACTCCATTTTTTCCTTCCATAAAACAAGTACACAATTTTTGCTTCAGTTATAGTACCGAAATCGGTATTATACCGAAATTTATAAAACTCCCCGTACCCTCATCTACTGCATTGCTATAAACTCCGGCACACGCACCCTCACCCTCACCCCACCCCAAGAACGCGTCATAAAACGCTCCCATTTTCTATCATACACACCAGTATTCACACCCCAAATGCACAAAGCTTTTTCCAAGTCTATTTCCTTTTCAATAGCAATTGTTTTTTTTTTTTTTTTACATAAATGCACCTAACCTTTCACTGCTCTCCACATCTGGGAAGCGATGGATGTTGAAGGCTCGCTCCTCCTCCTCCTCTGCCTGTTGTGTTCCATGTGGTGGCATTGGTGGTGGTGCTTGTTGGGAGGTCCTTGGCCTCTTTGAAGTGGATGTCTTTGGTGGAGCCATTGGGTAGTAATCATGAAAACTAGGGGCATAGCAAGTAAAACCACATTCCCACTACACGAGATTTCCGTCGTTACAGAATCCGAAGAGGTTTTACCCATGTAAAAAGAAAGATTGTTTATGTGACTTAATTGTATATTAATTATGATTTTTTTAAAAAAATTAATTTTTTATTTTTAATTTTATTTCACTAAATAACTTAATAGAACATGAATTTTACAATAAATTCATGTTTTATATAAATGATTTAGACCCTTTGTTTGATTTTTAAATTTTATTCCAATAGATAGTATAATTATATACTAATTACAATTTTTTAAGAAAAAATTAAATTTTTATTTTTTTATTTTATTTCAATAAATGATACAATAAAACATAAATTTTAATTATAAAATTTAAAATATTTGATATTCTATCTTTAATTAAAATATTTTTGGTCTAAATATAACTTTTTAAACTTGTGGAATTTAAATATTATACGCCTACAAACTTTAAGAAATCTGTGTATAATATATTAACAGACACTGACGACAAAGATCTAAGTGTTACGCGCGTATAAACCTTAAGAGATTTGTGTGTAATATTTCAAATATCAGGGGATCTAAGTAAACAAATGACAAACTTTCATAGTTCTTAATGTAATTCTCCCTTATTGTTAAGGAACTACAGACACATACATAATATTTAGGGACTCTATGAATACTGCCCCTATCAAATGGCCCATCCCTGAGTTCTGGTTCGTAGAATTATATACAGGCAGATCAAAGTTCTGAATTGTGATAGGTTAATATCCTGTACCTCCTTAAGGAACAAATTCGATCGCCTGTATCCTGAGTAGACCTGACTATCACTGCTGGTTCCCGAACCTTGGCGTGTGGAAATTCTATCAACATTGGACGCAAAACAGCTACTAGGAGAACCGGTATATGCAAACTTGTCTGAGACTACTGGGTTCGGGTTTTGCATCATAAACACAACCAAATCCAGTAAACTTAAGTTGACTAAATGTGATTTGGCTACCCTAACCGTGTCAACATATGTTATTGCCTGATTATAAGATGTTAGCATTCTTGTAACAATCATAACTTAGTGTTGAAGAGCAGAGGAATATCAAAACTCAGTGTTGAACAATTCATGCAGCTAGTTAATGGTACTGTGTGTTTTCTTTGGGTAAGAAAATACTTTTCATGTCATGATACCTTTTGGGTGAATGAAAAAAAGAATACCCTCTGGGATAACACATTCAATCAAGCAGAATGAAACCTCGAGTAGTAGCGATACAATGTCCATTGAAATCCAAGTAACTACGATCAAATTCACTGCATCTCAACATACTAACAATCATCCATCTACAGAAAAGAACAAAAGACATACTTGTGCAGGATATTAAAACGAGTAACTAATTTACCCAAAGGCCACAACTAAGAGATATATATGATTCAAACAAAATGGGACCATACTTTTACGTAGTCACAGTTACTAACTGATTGTGTGATGAAATTTGTAACATAAACGTTCAAAGAAGACAAAAATGGAGGCAAGATCGCAAATCTTGAAGCTGAAACGCAATGAGCAGTAATCACAATCCTAAACAAATCAAAAGAGTATATGTGAGATAATTGCTGAAATCAATAAACTGAAAACACAATGCTAGACAGCGGTTCATTAAAGCAAAATAATGTAACTAAAAAAACAAATCCCTTCATTTAGGGGACAGCTGAGGTGAATGTGCAGTAATCATCTTCCAACAAACCAAATAAGCTAACTAAATTCAACCTCCTCCCCAAAGACCTGCTTCCCCTGGATTAACCAATTTTTAACTGAAAGTCTGGGGATAAAAGGTTTCCTATAGTTTTACAAAATGGCATAAATTAATGCCATATTATTCATGCGTAGCTCATGCAATGAAGGAATCAGCCTTGTTACAATCTTCCATGGCTAGTTGAGGAACAAGGAAAATGCCAGAGTTTGGCAGATCAAACTTGTATAACTGAAACCATCTTGGAATCTGCTGGTTTTCCAAGGCTGAAGCAAGAGAATAGGAAGAAAGGAAAATCAACGGAAGAGAAAAGCAGTCTGGCTTTTCTGGAGCTCATTCATTACTCTATTTATCAGGCATTCTCCTAGAATGCATATATGCAAACTACGCCCGAACCATCCAACATTCATCATACATCATCGTTGCAATCTGATTTAATACAACATATCAGTATAATCCTTATAAGACTAATTTAAACTTAATGCCAACAAAACAAGTGAAAAATATTTTCTCATCAGATGTGGGTTTTGCTCCTCTACATGTGGCATGATTCGTAAATATGCAAGAAATAGTATTTTAAAGATACTCCAAAATTAGACAACTAATGCAAGTCATGTACAATACATGTCTACAGACTACAAAGTAAATATTTTCTCATCAGATGTGGGGTTTTTTTTTTGGTCAGTATCAGAAATGAGTTTTGCTCCTCTATAATTTAACACATTAACAACTAGCTAGTGGCACGATTCGTAAATATGCAAGAAAGAGTATTTTAAGGCCACTCCAAAATTAGACAACTAATGCAAGTCATGTACAATACATGTCTATAGACTACAGAGTCTCCAGTTGAAGGAGAGATGACTAGAAATATTGGTGAAGGTAAGATAAAAGTGTACCCTGCAGATGAGTAGATAGAAGGGGATGAACATATGAACTTTTGCGGCATGAAGAACACTACAAGTTTAAGATCCTAAAATCAAAGTAGGATATTTCTTGTCCTTTCATTTTACCCTCCCTACATCTAAGGAAGAATTTCCTCAGAAATCTGGATGATTTAATTATTCATCACTTATATCCTCACACATCAAGTAAATGGTACAATTTGAATATCTAAGTTTTACAGTTTGCATTGGGGGGACCTAACTGTCAAGCACCGAGAGTTTAATTATTCACTAAGATGAGCTTTTGCTTTGAAATCCATAGGATTACAATCACATCTGGATTAATTCTCACAAATGTGAGAAACATGAGGGAGATGGGAACAACAGAACATTGTTTTGAAGAATCTGAAAATACTTCATCAAAGAAAAATTACTTCGAAATTATACTGTTTTTCTAACTTCATAGACTTACAAAGCACAGTCCAAGTGTTCAATTTCTACTCACCTAGTCTCTCCCCAAAACTTTTTGGAATTCATAAGAGAAACATATCCAAGCAATTTGACCTCAGTTTAATGATCTTCATCTAGTCCTGTCCTGCCCTACAAGAAGAAAACAATAGGCCCTCTTTTATGGCACGGCAGAGCGAGAGAACAAATGGTAGGCAGAAAAGGGAAAGAGGGCAGACTCACGAAACTAATTTCAAATTCAGTGCCTCTGGCTCCACCCTTGAAAAATGATTTCCTCAACTTCCAAACAAATACTATTTAACAATCCAATTTTCCTAGAGATATAGATTTGATTTACCAAATTGCAGATGTCTAAAAATCTATATTACATATAAGGTTCTGGGAATGCTAAGAGGGGCTAAGTTCATGCCGTGAAAAACAGAAAGAGTTAATTTGTACCAACCCTCAAAGTAGATTGTTTCACCATGGGATCTCCTTGATTTTATAAAGTTTTCTTTATGTAAAATATCGAGAGTGCAAGTTTTCATTCCCAAAAGTGACAAGAAGCTAGGATCAGGCATAATTTGTTGCGAAAATAAAAATAAAAAATGCTTAAACTAAGTAAACAAATTGGTATGAGGAGACATGTATGATTGGCAAGACAGGAAAGAATGAGTGTGTAAAAAATCCATTTGTGAGAAAGTGCATCAGAGGCTGCTGAAAATATGCAAGAAAGATCATATGGTTTGTGTATGTAAAGACCAATATTTGAACCTATAATGATTCACATTACGAGTTGAAAGGAGCAATCCATCTAATATTAACAACTCAATCAACACACTCCTCAATACTAAACAGCTCCACTAATCCACACCTACCTCTCTTCCCTATCACCTACTTGTGTCTTATTTTCTATCTGTTCACTTCAATTTTAGATTGAGTAGTTAAAAAAATAAATTGTTATTTAAAATATAAATATTGTACAATCAATGTTTTATTTTTGGTGTAGTAGAGTGTATTCGGACACGAGGTATTGCTAATCATCAAATAGAGAGAAGGAAAGTAAGCAGAGGTATTAGAAAAGACATTAAATCCTATGAATTAACAGAAAATTATATACCTTCAAGAGTCCAAGCATGGCTTCGAGGAGCAACGGAAAGCATCGAAGTGAGCAATGCTGAGGCAGTTACAGTGTGATATGGAAGCATTGATTCCACACAAAACGAGCTCATCTCAACAGGCGATCTATTTGCAAATCAAAATACAGAAAAATTTAAAAAGAAAGCAAATTAGCCATCAAATCTACTCAATCACCATTAAAATAGTGTTAGCTCTAGATTGAAAGAGTCGATTAGAGTCATATATGTATGTGTATGACCTGAAAATGCGAGTAGAGAGGGGTTTCTGAGTGGGGATACGAAAAGGAGAACATGGAGCCTTGGTTTTAGCTCCGGCGGTCAGTCTGACAGCGGCGGTTCGGGCGGAGGAGGTGGCGGAGCGGAGAACCGACCTGGCGGCGATGGTGGCCATGGTGGAGGGTCTATGGTGAGCGTTAAAGTTGAGAGCTTTTTGGGTTTGGGCCGATTGCTTATGAAACTATTTGTGGGTTTATACGCCTAAGAAAGGACTTTCTTGAGGTTTTTGGCTATAAATAAAAGGGTTAATCTCATTTTGTACCTTGAAAGATCGTTCGAATTTTAATTTCTACCTTTAAAGATTAAAAATTTCAATTTATACCCTCAAAGATAAAAATTTGTATCAATGTACACTCCCAAAGATCAAAAATCTCAATTTTCACCCTCAAAGATATAAATCTGGATCAATGTGCACCTAAAATTAAATTGATAAATTATACCTAGATCCCCTCGTGTTTGCCACTTAATCATTTGAACCCCTTCATATTTAGAATATTATCCCTACATCTCATGATGTTTGTACATGTGTAAGCATAACCACTTTTCGTTGATATCTATTAATATAATCGTTAAAAAATATGATTTTATCCTAATAAAAAATTATAATTTCATATTACTCTTTATTTTGTGGATTCGATATACTCTAAAGTTCAAAATCAAGCTTATCATTTGAATGTCTAATAGAATGTAGATATTTATATAAAAAAAAATATGAAAAATATTATATAAATATCTACATTTTATTAGACATTCAAATAGTAAACTTGATTTTGAATTTTATAGTATATTGGACCCATAAAATAAGGGTAATATGAAATTATAATTTTTTATTATGATAAAATTATATTTTTTAACGGTTATATTAACAGATATCAATGAAAATGAGTTACATGTTGTACGTGCATAAATGTTATGAGATGTAGGAGTAATATTCTAAATGTAAAGAGGTCCAAATGATTAAGTGACAAACATGAGGAAATCTAGGTATAATTTATCAATTTAGTTTTAAGTGCATAATGATACAAATTTCTATATTTAAGAGTGCAAATTGAGATTTTTTATCTTTGGGGTGCACATTGATATAAATTTTTATCTTTGAGGGTATAAATTGAGATTTTTGATCTTTGGGGGTGCACATTGATACAAATTTCTATCTTTGAGGGTGCAAATTGAGATTTTTGATCTTTGGGGGTGCACATTGATACAAATTCTTATCTTTGAGGGTACAAATTGAGATTTTTGCTCTTTGAGGGTGCAAATTGAGATTCGAACGATCTTTCGGGGTGTAAAATGAGATTAACCCTAAATAAAATTCTTTTTCCATTTTTTTTTCTTTGTATGAAATATTAGAAAATGTTGTAGAATTTGAAATTATATACTAATTATGATACTGAAAAATAAATTTTTAGTATTATAATTTTAATTTTTATTCAATTAAAAAATTATGGTTGTAAAATTCTTTTCTTGTATTATTTTGTTTGATTTTACTATATTTGTAATTTATGACTACAAATGGATCAAATCAAAATCTATTGCCCTAAATCAATTTCGATAAAATACCAATTTTTTTTGGTAAAGGTGTCATAGATTTATGCTCAAAATTGGGGATTTTAGGTGAAAATAATTATAAAATTTAAGGAATTATTTGGTGTTAAATATAAAAAACCTCTTAAACCTAAATAAAAGAAGAATATTGTGGTAGGTAAGCACAGAAATCCTACCATGACTTATCGATTACCGTTCTTAGGGCTTATTTGGTATGTAAATTTAGAGGATTTTGGAACATGGGCTAAGGAATAAAACCCAGCAAATTCATGTTTGGTAAATGCATAGTTAGTGCAAGGCCTAAAACCTAGCTCGCATTAGGTCTGGGAATTAAACTCAAGTTCATAAGTTTCATGAAACCCACCGGGGATGGATTTCATATGTGAGTTAATGGGTTTAAGCTAGCAAATCACATTTATACTCTCATACATCCCATATATGTAAACAAACACGAGTGTGAATTAAATTAGTTAAAGGGTATAATAATTATTTATATACAAATATATTATCATAATAATCATATAGTTGTGCGCATACCAAACATGGGTATGGATGGTATTGAATGTTGAATCTCATTTTTGAATTTGGATAAGTCAATTCAAATCCATCTCAAAATATCAACTAAACAGTCTCTTAAGAAATAGCTTCACTAAAAACAAAGACGAACTAGAATAATGTCCATCTTGTTTTTCGTGCATGTCTGATGGATAAATATTTCTCTATAAAAAAATGATCAATTTTATAGCGAATTAACATTAACATATCTAAACACTATTTAAAAATAAAATCTAGTTTTAGACATTGTTGATGGGAAATTTTCCCTACTGGGTGTCTTGACATTAACATAATTACTGATAGCAACCTAACGTAACGGCGCCTGTAGCTCAGTGGATAGAGCGTCTGTTTCCTAAGCAGAAAGTCGTAGGTTCGATCCCTACCTGGCGCGCTCAATTTAACTGTTTTTTTGTGCCAAAAAAATAACAGAGCAATAGCAGAGGCAATGAGCGTGTTGGACAAATTGCAAACCTCAAAGCAATATTGATTTTGCCAAATCTTAGTCAAATTTTTTGGAGCTTCAACCAAATGATCAAACATTTAATTTCATTAAAACAATCGAAATATTTTCGTTTTAGCAAATTAATAATTGAATTATAAAATTTTCGTATTTTGAGGTTTTCTGGGATCTTTGATGTGTATCAGATAATAGTTCCAAGTGACTCTGAAACAAATTTTTAATCTTTTTTTTCAATGACAATCTTGTTTACAGAAAATTTCCTAAACGTTTTCGTTTTCGAGTGGGACTAAACTAAGCAAATTTTGAAGTAACAAGTAGAAGCACCAACCATGACCCAATGCAAGCAGTTCTTGATCAAACATCTTTACCCTTTAACTTTAAACAATGCAGTTTACTCCATAGCCATTGAAAAGGAAGACAAATTGAAACAATAATGTATCATTGTTTATCAATGATACATCAAATGACAGTATCAGTACATGTGAAGAATGGTCTAGACTTTTCTAGTCCCCTTTCATGCCCACAAACAAGTTTTTATTGCTATTACTGAAAAACCCTCACTGTCTTTGAACTGCTTTTACTCCTGCTTATCTTCTCTATAACGTCGAGTAATCGTGGAACGCAGAGCCCTCGAGACATTTCATCTGAACCTGATCTGCTATGAGTTTTTACAATCTGTTGTTGGTTGAAACCGATTGTGTTTGGGAACACAGATGAGCCTGATCTTCTATTAGGTACAATCTGATGTTGATCAAAGCAGACAGTATTTGGGAAGTATAAGCTTCCTCTGTTTCTTGGTCTAAGTCCAATTAGCCGGCCTAATGGTACACTCTGATCTTGGAAGAAAGATGCTGTGGACTGGTTTGATCACGCATAGAAGCAACATCAACATATAACAAGTGAGTGAGAAGGGGGCAAAGGCGGTGTTTGGGGATGAGTTTGCAAGCAACTTCAACAATGAATGGGCTTATTTAAGGCCACCGATGACTCATAATGGCTTATCACTGTTCTTATGTAACATGAAAGGAGCTAAGGTAACATGTTTCTTTAGTTTCTATGTAGGTCACATTCTGAAGATACCCTTTCTGTATTAGATCAGGTGGCAATTGTTTCTTTAAGAACCATCACAGTAAGAGGACTGCTTTAGGTATGAAGCATGATCAGATCAGAAAAACAAAAGGAGGGTGTGAAGCATGATACGAGAAATTACACAACAGTATGGGCAGCCTGTGGATAAGGTTCCCAGTCCCACTGTTGCGAGGTTTTGGAGAGGATTAAATGTACACAGTCTTATCTCCCGCTATTACATGACAGTTAAATGGTAAGTTCAATTATTTCTTGAAGTTGCCATGTTACTCGTGTGCATGTAGATGAGTGAACAGAAAAAATATATATCACACACACACACATATATGAGAGGATAAACAAAGAAATCGATTGGGTGAGCAGGGATTACCTCAGTGTCTAGATTTGAGGATGTGAATGAAGAGAAACTGAATGAATGCCTGTGTAAAGATTGTGGTGGTGGTTCTGCAGCAGCAACAGCCGCCGCCTGTGACCTCTCCCCTGCTCTAAGTCTCAAGTTCATGCTCTCGAGTCCAAGTGGCCATCCGTTGGGTGTCAAATTGTTCTGTAAAGATCCATAAATTAACGCATAGCTCCATGAATTTTCGAGGTCATTCACATACAGTCTATCTGCTAGAGCACAAATGTTGGTATTCCATTTATACTAGTGGTCTGATTCAAGTTCTTCAAGGCTCTCTCTTGATCACATTGAAATCCAGCAGTCTTTGATATATAGGTGCTAAAGCAGGTATTGCTAATGAACACTATGGACGGTTCCTTGATCACCGTAACATCCCATAATTCAGAATTCCTTCATTTGCAAATCATGGAGATTTTCGACCAAAATAAGGATTTCTACTTAATTTTTTTAAGGTGTTGGATTGTGTATATGCCTTGGACGGACTTACTAAGTTCAACTAATCTGCTCGTAATAGCAGTGTATTTGAATCAAAATATAAACTATCCAAAACCAACATAAAATTTTGAAAGATAAAGCTTAATATCAAAACTGCTCTCTTTGAGTAGTTTTTTTTTCTTAATTTTTGGGTAAGGAAATCAAACTTGTAAGCAGAGAAGTTAGAAATGAACAAAATCTACCTACGAGACATCAAATAACAGATATTCCAGAAACTAGTAAACATCGAAAGATCTGTTCTATCTCTCAACTAAACTCAATAAAGCCGTAATCCCAACTTTTAAAGGTCGGCTAAGATCTCTCCTCTCTCACCACCAAACTATTTCTAACTGAATTTCTGAAAGCAGCACAAGAACCTGAAACTGAGGCAACTTTCTGCACTATGCTTTCCAGAAATATGAATGACAAGTGAACCATAAGCCATCAAAGAGTAATAAGAACCAATCTCATGGCAGAAAACAAATAATCAAACAAACTTTTCATCAAGAATGATAAAATTGTCCTAGCAGTTACCATGAAATACATCCCAATTACAGTGAAACAACACCAAGAAAATCACAGTTTATTCAGAAAAACCAAACCATGAACAAGTATGACATGTACCTCCATAACCAAGCTGTCCCAAAGGGCCTCCTCAAGAAAGAAATGGCTGATGATGATGATGAATAACTAATGGAATCATCCAAAAGGACACAAAGAGGAGGTGGAAAGACGAGTTAAGAGGCTATGAAACTCCAAAATAGTCTTCGGGGCCCACTCAGGAGTTCATCATTTAAACCACCCAACTGACATCATGTGTTCAATGTACTTTCCTCGTCTTTCATCTCAATCCTTATTTTCTCACCTGAAAGCTCCAAAATATCAAAACAGTTTTGAGGTTAATCCACTGCCATCGTTCGAAGGAAAATACTATTTGTACTTAATTTGAAACCAAATCAACTATAGTTAGTTCTTAGATTGAAAGTGGACTCTGTTTAACGTTAAAACTTAAAACTAATCTAATGGTAGAATTGAATTAGATCCCTATAACATTAATGTTGTGCAACCAGGAAGCCCCTCTATGGCACGGTGTGATCTAGACCACTGGATGTGCTTACTTTCTTTCAAATTCAAAGTCTAAATTGAGTAGTTAGATGATAACTCTATTGCAAAATGTTTAAGGATTTAGCTAAGTACATAATGTTTCCGTCTATATCAGAGTCGAAGAGGGGTAAGTGGTAAAATTTTATCGGGTGATGAGTAGTTAAATGGTAAGTCTATCAAAATATTCTAAATAGATCCCACATAATTTATAACGGTACCTTAAAAGTCCGAAAGTGGTGAGTAATAAACTATATCAATTAATCACTCAATACTCAATCTCTCACCGGGATCCCAACTCAAATAACCTAAACCTTTGGATGTGCAACTATAGATGATAAATATTTTCAATCAAACACAGAGTGTGCGTGCGTGTTCAAATTATAAGTGTGTATAAAACTCTCCCATTTTGCCGACTATTTTTAAGATTCAAACCTGCAACATATTCCTTGTATGGATGAAGGTTGATTAGTCGTCCAGACATCAAGAATGGTCCCCTCAAGGGATTTAATTGGCTGTTGAGAATTTATTGTTGAACAATCCAAGAAATATTGTATGATACAAACTCCGGTGGTTGAATGTTAAGGTAATATTCAATGCTAGATCATTATCACCGTGCATTGAAGGTAACATTGGTAGTCGGCATTAAAGAAATATGGGTGTACATATTGTCTATACATCATTAAACCAATACAATATTTCTCAACTTATTTAAGGAAATAATAAGAGGATGCTTTTATTTCAATCCAAAAATCATAGACAATTGAGTTTCGAATATTCAAAGGTGGTGCTCGGTTAGAATTATTGTTGATTGTTAGTGATGAGTTCATCCGTTTATCATCCACTCAATTGCCATTCATTTCAAGTAATAGGATAAGCATCGATGTTGGATTTAACTTAAGAGGGTATTGTCGGTTCTGTGTTATGCTTTGAAATGTGTGTCTATATGTTTATTTTTCCTCCTCTAGTTGAGTTTGTTAGTTGGGTGACAAGCAGGTCTCAAAGTTCAAATTTTTTAGAGGTGTTCTAGTGGTTGATTATGTCATTTGCTAACTTAGAAATCTCAAGTTTAATTTCTTATCATACTCCCTGAGGGTTAGTCATCTTTATTTTTTTAGGAACATGCTCTAACTCAGCTCATGCTACAGTGACTAATCATTGAATTCAAAAGAATAATCGATACAAACCTGAACACCCTATAATAAAAAAAAAAAAAAAAGACAAGTACCAATCAGGCAAGTTTTCACATTCTGTCGTATGATTTTACCTCTCCAAATGCAACATTTTTTCTAAGACCAAATGGAGAAAGGTTAAACTCATCAATCATTGCCTTATAGACCTTGAATTTGACACATTTATGGGTCACCCTTTATAATGAGTATGTTACCTTCAAACTTTGACGCATTCACGGGTCACTCTATTCTTTTCTCAATACCCAAAAATTTGTTTCAACAATATTTTTTAAAAGACTCGTGATTATTACGTAAATTTAAATTACACATCATTACCAATAAATGATGCGCAATATATCAATCAAAACGTCCCTTTCAAGAGTCAAAATTAAAATTTTAAAAATATTGACCCTCGAAGTTACAATGATGAGTTCACATTATATTCATTTTTTGATCACTATTTTGAGGTTTTCTAAGAGAAAAAACGGTAAGATTCGAACCCACAACTAAACAATTCAACAATGAGTTACAATGGCCATTAAGCCAACCGCTTATCCCAGAGTTCTCATTTATTTCATTTGGTGCAAACTTGGACAAAAGTCTTGTTTTGGTGGGTAGCTTAGTTTCCACCGACACCATTTTCCTAACTCCAACTCCCTCAAATCCCAACTGCAACGGTACTTTTCTATCTAACATATATTTAAAGATGGCAAGGATTCCCTGGTGATGTGGTTTCTATGCTTAATTTTATTTCATTGGTCTTCCTCCTTTTTAGAAGATTCAATGTAACATATGATTTGGATCATTTTGATACCAAGCTTTGGGTGCCTTAGTGGTTAGTCCTAAAGGGACCGACATGACATTGAGGGTTCAAGCATTGGTGCTTCATTCTCTCAAATCTCTCTAAAGAGGTATTCTAAAATATCTCTAGTTTTTTTTAAAGCAATGTTTTAATGAAAATTTGAATCGTTAATGTACGGACGTGCATTTGAAGTTTGTATTGTAGTTCAACTCGGTTTTAGTGAATATTAGCGGCCGATTCTGTGGGATGTAAGGGCTATCCCCTTTTCTTATCAATTTCCTTTTTCACCTTTTACTCTTTCTCACCTATTATTTTATAAATTAGCAAAAATATTATAAAAATTATTGAATTATAAAGTTTAAAATTTTTAAAAAATTTAAATAAGTGGTGGTTAGAGGGAGTTTATGGGAATTATTGGAGACATTTGGTATAATATTATTGAACGATGATGAATTTATTAATACAAAATTTCTAAAAATTAGAAAAGTGTGAGGGAAGGTTTTTCAAACTCTCTCCTTAAGAGTTTGATTGTTTTATAAATACAGTATAGATTTGAAATGATGATTAAAGTAAGTACAGAATAGAACAAAAGTCCAATTACGACCCGTTTAAAAGCTGTCGTGGGTCGGGCCAGGCAACGTCCATATTGAACCTTATAATGTAATTCTTAATAGATAAATAATAGAATAATTGACTACCGATTAGGAATGACAGTGGACTGAAGCGGGGTGGGGGCTGGAGTCTCCACCCCCGTACCCACTTCAAAAATATTTGATCATTCTTGGTCTACTCCTGTTAGCAGAGAAAATTTTGATTTTTGTCTCGATCTTTGTTATTATTTTCGCCCATAACAATTAATTTTCATGATTTTAAAAAAAAATTATAAAATCTTACAAATAGATTTACAAAAAAATGAAAACTCAATATATAACAAATGAATCAAATATAAGAACTTACAAACATAATAAGTATAACAAATGTGTGTTTCACTTAATTATATATATTACGGGTTCAACAGAGTAGGACGGGGATGGGGTTCAGCCTATCTCCGCAGAGAATTTATATGGGTATTTTCATATACGTTTATCGTCCAATACATATAGTCCATCTTCAATCTAAACGTAACAAATTTAGACGAATACTCATTTTTTTTTCTGGTTCACTACCGTAATGATAAATATACTAAAAATTTGCATTTAGTATTTGAGGTTCTAGGGATACATTGATGTCAGCGTAAGTGGGTTTGCCACGTGGTTAAGAGGCTACCCACCTCTAGGCGTGATTTTCTTAAAAGTATATAAATGTTCACGTTGAGTAGTTAGCTGGTTTAGCACAACCGTCACGTAGTATATTTGTAAGTGCTTAGTTTGAATCTAGTTTGGAAGTGATGGAACATATTGAGTTACATAAATACGTACGTGACTTTAAAACAAATAATAATTTAACATATTTCATGTCGAAATCTCACCAACCGTATAATGACACTTTTACCCCCTTTTCCTTTATGAGTAGGTCAAAAAAGGGAGTGGAATTCCTTTGTCAAAATCTCAATCTAGTGGTGTGGGTAGCTGTAAACAATCACCTGCTTACCAAATAAGCCTCAAAGAGATTAAACTTACATTCTTTCTATCGGTTTAAGTTTTTAGAGTATGATATCAGAGCAAGATGTTATATGTTCGAATCTCGTCTATCACCTTTATTATTAAAAAGATTTTTACGTACTAGGCCTAAAATCTAACCCCACATGAGATGATGTGTTGAAATATAAATACTAAAATTACACGTGTTGAAATATAAATATTAAAATCATACGTGTTGAAATGTAAATAATGAAGTTCTAGTAATGATATTTTTTGTGAGACAGACATTCGTATCTACGACATAAATTTATTTGTATTTAACCCCATAACTTCTCCATGAAATCCTAGTTTGGGCCCATTGTCATGCTTGTTAGTTTGGTGGTCTATCGGATCACGGGCCTGTTGTGCCCATAACCTGTAACCTCTGGACATCTCATAACGTAGTAGGTCAGCCCATGAGCCCTGGTTTTTCGCTCGCTAAACCCGATGATCAAGCTAGATTAAGACTTGTGATCTGGCCCATTGCTCGACAAAATTCATTACTTTTACAAAAAAAACTTTATTAGTGACAACCAGATTGGCAGGCTATGGACCGTAGAATTTTTTGGGTGAGTTGGACCGGCCCAAGTCGTTTACTGTCGAGTTTACATTTTTGCTCAAGTCTCGGTATACTTCGACATTGGATAGAGTTTCATCAAACTAAAATCGAGTTAAGCATAGGCTATTCAGATCGTTTAAAAGTGTTGAGATTGTGTTTGGTAAGTGATAATGAAGCATAAGAATAAAATGATTATTACTTAGTAATACTCATTCTAACATTTGATATGTAGGAATAAAAATTCATTCACATTCTCATGAAATACCTAATCTAATCAACATAGAACACAGCCAAACATAAGAGTTTCTGAGCTGTCAGTTCAAAGCCAAAGCCAAAGTCAATAAAGGCCATTTCTGAACCTAGCTTGAAGCTTAACCCTGAAACTCCTTCAAAGTGAACACAGACAGTTCTGTCCGCCATTCACGGTGAAGAAAAATCAACCTAGACATAGTGATTACTTTACCTTTTTTGATTGCTCACATTATGAAATGAATTGAATTGAATTATAGCACCACCACCCTCTCTCTCTCTCTCTCTCTCTCCCTCCTACTTTGCCAGTGGTTCACCAACTAGTAAACCCAGATGGGTCCTCCCCATTAAATGGTGCCCACTCCTTAAGCTAAATTGACACTGACAACTTGCAACTCTATCTCCAAAGTTACACCCAATGAGGAGTGAAGAAAGTGATAAAAAAGAAGAAAAGAAAAAAGAATTAAAGTTCCTCCAGTTCTTGCATTTATACCGCTAAGAGTGATGGACCCAAGTTGTTTTTAACCATTACTATTACATGTAGTGAAAATTCTTGGATAAATTAGATTATTAAACAAAATTTTTGATTAAAATTGTTTGAATTAGGAAAATTTTAATATTTTCTTGTTTATATTTTTTAAAACAAGGATTTAATTAGAGATAATCTACTTTAGGTTATCTCTAACCTTAACTTAATTTTTTTACTTAAATTTGAATCAATATTTGAGAAAAAAAACTTCATTTAGTAAAAAAATTTCGATGAACAAACTTAAATTTAAAGAAGGACAAACACCATTTTAAAGGAGAATGAAATTTGGTCATTAGCTCTTTAAAATATGGTGAAATCTGACTATTGAAAATTTGAGTAAAGTTTTGATTATCTCTTGATTTAAGTAAAAATTTAAATCTCCATTTATTTGGTATGAGTTTGAGATTAATGTAAAAGTTAGATTTTGAACTAAGGCCATGCAATTTCCTAACATTGTTTGGGAAATTGTGGCCAGCTTACATCACCTTCAATATACTTTTATTTTATTTTTTCTTAGCAATAAATTACCCATTGTGTATTTGTTGGAGACCCATTTATCTCCATTAGGTCCCACTTAAAATATGCTTGACGATCTATAATTGAGAAAGATTAAAAAAAAATATTATGAATGAGATCTAAATACGATGAAAATTATATTTGTTTTCATAAATAGTTTTAATATTAGAGATATAAAGTAGTAGTGTCAATGGTCTTATCATGGCAAAGAGCTGAGATTTTGGCTTTTAGAAAAGCAAAAGGGCAAAAAAAAAAAAAAAGAAAGAGAGAAGGAAAATATTTTTAAAAAGAATTAACAACAAAAGAAAAGAAAAGAAAAAGATAAAAATCTAATGATATGGTCCATTTGATATTTGATAGTTGTCTTTCTCACTGTTCCCTATTGTAACAAATGGCTTGGTGTATTTTTGGACCCATGAAAACTACAGAGATTTAATTGGGAATTTGATCATTGTCTCTTTCTCACTGTTCCTTAGTGTAATCAATGGCTTGGTGTCGTTTGGTCCCATTGAAAACTACAGAGAATTAAACTACAAAGGACAACAAGTGTACCATACCACCCCTTCCCATCATAAGATGTTCCTTAAATCCCTCACCCACAAGAAAAACTGTCCAGTTTAGTATAAATAAGTTCCTCACTTTTTGGTAGGTAAGTAGGGTTTGATGGTTTGATGTGTTTTTAGATGAAAAGGCTAAAATTTTATGATTATCTCTCACATGTCATGGATATGTATTGTGGGTGTGCTTTAATGAAGCATTATGAGAGCTTGTGGGCAATCCATCTTAGTCATAGTACTTGAATCCAAGTATCAATCGATTCATGCCATGTTTAAATTATGTCATTTTTGTTTATTTGGAATGACAAGCATTGTCCGGCATTTATATAGAGAATGATGTATAAACTCCAAAGAATAACTCAAGTCGTAATAAGGACGAGCTGTAAACTCAATCGTCTTGAATTCGAATATTAGTAACTCATTGGGATCAAGTCACGAGGAATTTATCTATTATGAATATCTTAGTTCTGACGTGGATGATCTACCTTTAACCGGACCGGAGAGAGGATTAGTTGAGGTGCACATAAGTTAGTACAGACACTCTTGACTGTCGAAAAAAAAAAAAAAAAAAGATGATGTGTAATGTATCTTGTACCCCACCAGAGGAGGAACACACAAGCTTCACTAATATACAATTTATTGAATTACATAGTGTTCACCACCAGATACAAAATCATACTCTTTAATTATATTTTTGGTTTTCAAACCCTGGAAACTTTGAAAGCACAAAAAACAACCCATAAATTAAAGTATACTAAAAGCCATAATTAAACATGGAAAGCATTCAAAGATGACAATTGAATTCCATCTCATTTTGCTCACTTGATTCTAAAGGAAGAGCTCAAGGCATGAACTCATCTTGGCTATCTTGGAACTCATCTTGGTTCTGGTACCCTTCCATGGAGTTGTTAAACTCATCTGAATTATCATAGCTATTCCCATAATAGCCCTTCTTGTTATACTCATTCCTTGAATCAAATCCTCTTGAGTTCTGATAAGCATTGGGATTATACTTTTGGTGCGGGTGCTTGGGGTCATAATAGTACTTTCCATTCTCCAAGAACCTTGTGTCACTCATGCCTTGCTTCTGGGGATTGTAACTATTGCCACCATTGTAGTAGTTGTTGTTGTTGTTGTTCTTGCCGGTGGTGGAGGTGGTGGTGGTGTAGCCTCGGTCCACAAACCTGGTGTCACTTATACCTTGTGGCTGTTGGCTATAAGCGTCGCCACCATTATAGTTGTATTTGTTCTGGTTGGCTGGGGTGGTGTAGCCTGTGTCCATGAACCTGGTGTCACTCATACCTTGTGGCTGGTGGCTATAGGCGTCACCACCATTATAGTTGTAGTTGTTCTGGTTGGTTGGGGTGGTGTAGCCTTGTGGCTTAGTCACATAGGCCACAGTGTTGTAATTATCTGGCAAGCCAGCCTTGTTGAAGGGCACTTCAGATTCAGCTTTGTATGGAAGGTGGTTGTTGTTGGTGGTGGTGGTGGTGGTTTTGTAGGGTGCACCACCAGATGTGGTGGTGGCGGGCGGCAGCTGGCCGGACTCATGACCGTAAAGGCCGTAGCCATTTTCATTTTGTGGGATGAAGCTTGGCTCCTGCTCTTGTGTGTTCAAGGGTTCTTCCTTGCTGGGGACTTCTATCTCTTTGACACCATTGTTGTTGGTGTTACTTGGGACTTTGTTGAAAAACTGGCTTTCTCTGGCATGTACATGCAGAGAGGATAAAAGGGTGAGAAGGAGGAGGAGAGAGAGAGATTTGGCAGAGGAAGCCATGAATGGACAGTGAAGGGGATGGTGCTGCTTGGTGTCTACTGTCTAGTGAGGAGATGTTGTGATATTTTTACCTTTATATAGAGCCCCTCCCTCTCTCTCCCCCCTTCTTTTTCCTTCCTTCTGTATGTGTGGTGTCTTTATCTCTCTCTCCAATTTTTTCTACTCATTAGGTGCCAATGGGACAGTAGGATGGGTGGTGATTGTGGTCCCTCTCTATTACTATGACTTTAACAGAAGAACCCTTTTTTCTTCTAAGAGTATTTATGCTTTTTTGGTGAAATAATTATTTTTTTCTTATTCATTTTTCTAACTCATGGTTTATGTTTATTGTTGTGGGCAGCAATCTTTGCGGTCCTATTAAGAAAACTAGACTATGATAGGGTTGTAAATTTTGTACTTTTATAGATTCAGCGATAGGACTCATAAGCAATCCAAACACTTAAGTTAAAGATACTAATTTCTTTACTGTTCTTTCTTTTTAAAATTTTAATTCTCAGCTTTTTCAGAGGTGCCATAGAGTTTGAACCCTCCATAAATTAGGGCAGAAAAGATAATCATATTCTGAAAATCGTATAGCCTATATTTAATTGCATAATTCACATTTAAAACATCTCGCAATTTGCATAAGATATGCAATTGAATCATAGCTAGAAGATTCTCATCGCGTGATTATATTGAATTGAATGAAATTAATCGGATGCAATAGATCAAACCTAACATCTTCTTTAACATAGTAGAGAGATGATATTAGCATTCTAATGATATCTTCTATTGACACTCCAAATAATGTCAATAATAGTTTATAAATGTATTTTCGGAGTGTCAAAAATGATTTTGGAGTGCCAATAGCATCACCCCTTTCAATTTTTGTCAAAAATTAGTTGAAAACTCTAAGGGAAGTTCAAGTAATAATAGAGACAAATTGTAAACTCAGATATTTTAAGTTTGAATTTTAACAATTCTTTTAGATTAGACCATGACAAATTTATTTCTTATGAATATCCTGACGTGAATGGTCTATCTTTAACTGGACCAGAAAAGAGATTAGTTGAGATGCGTGTAAATTAACTCGGATATCCTGATTGTTAAACAATAAAAAAAAAATGGTGGAGGGAGGGGGTATTTTGGTAAATTTAGAGAAGCAAAAGACATGAATAGGGTGGGCGGGTAATTATGCGGGGATTGAGGAGTGGGTGGGACATAAAAAAAAAGGAGGAAATAATGGCACAAGTGCATAATGCATGTGCCCTCTAGACTTTGTCTATCATAAGGGTCACACCTAATCTTTTACTGCATTGAGAATTGTTGGCCCACTTAATAGAATACAACTTTGCATGCCTATTTTAAGTGGAACCCACGATCCATGAACCCAAAAAAATGGGTTGGGTGATTTGTAATCTGGTACAAACTGGAAGGTTCTAGTGGAGGAGGAAATATTTATTATAATGATAATATCACGTTACGTCAGTATTATTAAGTAATATCATCAATTAATAATATATAAATAAGTAAAAAAATAGACCGCACACAAATTAATAACTACACATCTATATAAATTAATAATTACCCATTTTTCCTCTATATAAGTCGATAACTATTCAAGTAGAATTTATCTCACTTATTTAATATTTTATTATTAATTGATGATATCATATGATAATACGGACATGATATTACCATTACATTACATATTCACTCCTAGTGGAGAGAGGAACTCTCCATAGTTAGAGGAAACACTTCTTTTGGAATTGAGCAAGGCACATAATTAGGGATTTAATTTATCGTAATTATTTGATTAATTGTAAGTTTTAATAGTAGATGAAGTCTATTTTTAATAAAACAAGCATAATTGATTAGATTTTTAAATTAAATTTTCAAATTAGATCTAAATAACAAATTTCTTTTAGATTAGAGTTCGCCAAAATTAGGTTAGCTATGAGTTACGTAATGTGGAATTTGTATCATATATAAGTATATTTGACTCATTTATAATTGTACTAGTTATCGTCTGTGCCTGAAGGCACAGAATAATAAAAAATGATAAACAATAAACATATTTATATTTATATCCAAAATCAAATTATAAATATAGAGAAAAAATAAATGAATTTTAGTATCAATTTTATAGTGGGGGTGAGAGGTGGTGATAAGAGACGATAATAGTTGTGGTGGGTGGCAATAACGAGGGCAGCAGTGATAGTGGTGGTGATGGTGGTGGCGGCAGCAACGGTGGTAACAGTGATGGTGGTGGCGACAGTGGGGCTAGTGGAGGCAGTGGTGGTGGTGGTGGCGGTGGCGGTGGCGGTGACAGTGACGGTGGAGGTGGTGATGGTGGCGACGGTGATGGTGGTGGAGGCGGCGACTATAGAGGTGGGAGCGGTAGTGGCGGTAACGGTGGCAGTGATGGTGGTGGTGGCAGCGACAGTGACGGTGACAGTGGTGGTGGTGGTGACAGCGGCGGCGACGGTGGTGGTGGGGGTGGTGGTGATAAAGGTTTCAAACACTATTTTTTTTTAAAAGAATTTATGAGAAATAATTATTAAAAGTACTTTTAAAAAGTTATTCTAAACACACCCTTAGGGAACTATTTTTTCTATTAAATTTAAGGTATTAATATTAACCGTTAGATTAATTTTAAAGTAAAATTTAAAACGATCTCAACTGCGAATAACAAAAGTCATTTAATTTATCTTTTGAGATTTAAATTGTAAGGTATTTTATTATATAGATATTGCCGATAATGTCATTTCGAGCTTGTTTATTTGAATTTATGGCAATCTATTTATCAAATGAGTTTGATAAATTAACCCATTTATGACTGAAACCCTTGAAGATTCACTCATATTGATAACTTATTGTTAATTTTGTATTAAGTTGACGAATGGTGCTAAGAATTATCAACTTTAAGTTCAACACTAATTTCCTTCAATACCCTCAACTCAATACTAAATCACTCCTCTATTCACACGAGATTCACTTAAATACGAACTGAATCCTTCTTTGGGCATGCTAACCAGAGTCGGTCCCAAAGTTAACAAAGGGTCCCACTCAGTAGGCCAAGGTACCCTCAAGCAGTTGGGTTAGTTAAAAAAAGACCACCCATCTCATTTCATCTTTTTCTCTGATACAGCTTACTCTCAGCTTACTTACTGCAACTACTTTCTATTGATGGTTCTTTACTCTCTGTTATTGCTGTCACAAACCCAACTGCTCGGCACCATCCAAATTGCATGGAAAACATTTCTGGCAATCACCCACTTTTTGTTTTTTATTTTTTGTTGGTAAAAAATAAGGGTATAGGCAAAAAAGAGCGCCCCAAAATCACTATGATAGACCCTCATTAACGAGATCATGAAATCCCTGATCGTGCCTCTTAATCCTTTCGGGAACGAACTTAACTAAATTAATATAGCGGTCAACCACCGAATCCCAATGTAGACTTCAAAATTCAAACCTCCAACCTCAGAATGAAAAAATCGATTAGTCTTAACCGTTTGTGTGCATATTCAACAACCGAATTTAAGTGAAACTTTTAAAAGTATTCTTTAGAATTCAAGAGCTCAACAGCCCATTTTACTGGAACTTCTTGGGTTGGCTAAGATAATTAAAAGTCCCATCGGTTAATTTTAATTTCTTACATCTATTCTAACAAAAAGGGGGTCCCATTAATGTGGTGGGTGAAGTACTGCAAGAGAAGCAAAGAGAGGGAGAGAAAGAGAGGGGGGACCAATGGATGTCTGCATTCATGGTAAGTGTGCATTGTTAGATTTGAAAGTCTTATTAATTAACGAGATCGTGCCACCCCAATTTGGTACAAAATGTTTTAATGTAACTCTGCTTGAAGTTACGGCGCTTTATATATACAGTAGAATCACATTATTATGATATAAATTGTGTTTATGCAAATCATCTTTCTTGGCTATGTAGACACAAAGACTTTAACAATTCTCAACTTTTTTTTTTTTGTTCAACAGATAGAAATGTCCAGGCAGCTTAAGCGCGCCTCAATTAATCTTCTCCCCAGTTCAGTTAAAGGCAGATCATTCTCAAGGAGTTGTCAAGATTCAAACTCAAGATATCTGAATTTACAATTTATCCTGATTATCACTTGAGTTATCTTATTGACAACGAAAAGTAGTGGTCTGCCATAAGACTTTCAGACCCACATGAAAAATAATTTTGCAGAAAATGTGCCATTATTAGATATCAGTAAAGAGCGGAGACAGAAGAAGCAGAGAGGGCAGGGACAGCAAGGTTCACTTAAAAGAAAACAAGAAAATCTTATTAGTCAATGTTAGTGTTTGACAAATCACTTCGTTGGTTTTTCCCACTTTTGCCTTCTTTTTCTAGGATTAAATGAAATTTGTTGCGCGATTATCGGAAGGGGAATGTTCAAGCATTGTCAAAGGTGAAAGAAAAGAAAAAAAAAAAAGGAAATGAGAGAGAGAGAGAGAGAGAGTGCTTTCCAAGTTCCAAGTCTTTGGTTTTTTTGACTCAATTGAGGGGCTTTTAAAAGTAGATTATATTGAAACTTGCTTCGTACAACTCTTATACTTCATAATAATACCCAAAATTGTCATCATTTGGCAAAAATTGGGGCAGGTTTTTCCAAAAGGTATGTCTTTTTTTTTTTTTTAGGTTCAACAGTCAGAAGTATTTGAGTTAATTTATCTACACCTCAATTAATCATTTTCTCGGTCCAGTCAAAGATAAATCTTCCACATCGGTATTAAGGTATTCAAGAAGAATAAACCCCTAATGGTCCAAATTTTGAATTCAAAGCGTCTGAATTTACAACTCATTTCTGTTACTATTTGAATTATCTCTTGGGATTGACATTGCACATATTACACTTGTCACTTTTTTTTTTTTTTAACCAATCAGCTTGGTTATATATTTCCTAGTTTTCTTCCATAATTTAAGAAAAATGAATTGTTTACAAGCTCCATAGGTCACTCCTAAGACTAGGGTTAGTCTTAAGTGAATACGTCAGTTCTATCTATTTAGAGCCATGTGCACTCAACTAACACAATTTGCTTTGTGGGCAAGTCAATTAGGTAGACCTAAAGTTCAAAAAAAAAAAAGAGTTAGGTGGATCTACAAGTGTTAATTGAGCCAAACTTTGAAGTTTAAGAGCCTTTTTTTTTTTTTTTAATACTTGGCTCGAGTTGGTTATCTCAACTTCAAACTTCCATTGAACCAAGTCCATTTTTATAACTCTTTTCTCTCTGGGTACTAATCTATATCTTTATTATTTATAAATATTAGCATCTACGAAAAAATTTTAATTTTCTATTTTATCCCTAATTATTATAGTAAAGTCAATTATACTCACTCACCTATACTTTCATCTAATTTTTATTTTTTATTCTTATTTGAATCTTAACTTATTTTGAACTCTTTTATAAAGACTTCTAAATTCTTTTGAACTCATTTATTAGTGATACAGTTACATACAATTTTCTATATGTATATAAAGAAGTAAAATCCTATATATGTTAAATTATTATACACGTGTAATTACCAATTTGAATTACATGGTCAAATATATATTATATTATATTTATTTTTTAGTATGAAATAATATAATAATATTATAAGCGATCTAATCAATCTATTTAACAAAAAGAAATTAATAATTCTATAATATGATTAGATAGACAAATGACTAAAGGGATTAGAGAGATACCTAAATAAATGACATATTAGTTATTCAAAGATTTATATAATATTTTTTTTAAAAAATACAAATTAATTATTCAACACTTAATTTATTCTTTAATTTAATTACTCATATAATTCAAGTTTTCTACAAAAAAATATTACTTAAATTTGTTTACGTACAACGCACGTTATGCATTACCAGTTAATATAAATGTTTCATCTTATTTTTATTAATTGATAGACAAAATTATAATTATGGCTAATTTGAGACAAATCTATTGCTCAAATGGACTCACAATCGAAAAAAATAAATTATTTAATATATCTATTGTCCGTTTGTAAAAAAATAGTATTGGTTAGTAATAACATTTTTTAATTAGCATTTTTAGAAAAAAAAAATTAGGCAAGTTTTAGAAAGATTCATTTTTCACCTTATGATCTTTTTTATGGGCGGCTTAAATTTTAATGGAGTTTAAATTTGTGATCTACACTATTCTATTAAAATATACAAAATATAAGGCCAACTTTATAAAAAAATTAAAGTCATTAATCGTTTCATACTAGAACCAACCGTACTTAAAGTGTATACCTTTAAATCAAAAAAAAAAATATGGTTCAACGGTTCGGAATGTCTAAACTAATATACACACACCTCGACTAATCTCTTTCATGGTTCAGTCAAACACAGATCATCTATGCTTGGCCTAAGGTATTAATAAGGGATAGATCCCCTCGTGACTTAAACTTAAAGGATTGTCAAGATTAAAACTCAGAATGTCTGAGTTTACAACTCATCTCTATTACCATCCGAACTACTCATTGAATATTTTAAATCAGTTTCTGACTCATAATCTCTCTCTCTCTCCCCCTTTCATAATGCTTCCCCCTAATTGACCCAAGTTTGTAACTCTGTCCACCCTGTCATCATTCTCGATTAACGAGATCAACTGGGTAGTTACCATTTGTTAGAGATGTCAAAAGAGGGATCCATTTGGGAGAGTAATAGGGCCAATGGGGTTTTTGAAACCAGCCATAGTCTCATACACAGAGGCCACCATTACAAGACTATGCTATACTCCTAAACTTCCATAATTGGTTGTGAAGCATACAAACTAGACTATATTCTTAACACAGTTTTTCACACTTCCATTTCACCAATAGATGTAGCACTCATTTGTATATTCTGGTTCGGGAAAAAAAAACGAACGAATGGAAGGAGGAGAATGATAAATCCAACGGAGTAATACTATGGTATCGAAAAAAAATCTATTCGATACTTTATAAGAGGTCTTATAATAGCTAAAAGATCTACTATGAAAAGACCATATTACAATCTTATAAAAAAAACTATATTCAGTGAACAAGATTCTTGTTATTGTGGAATCTAAAAAATATTAGATGTGCACAGTTTTACACTATAAGTAAAGAGATTGTTTCTGCAACTTGAACCAGTAACTTTCGAGTCACAGTGAAACAACCTTTCCGTTACAGCAAACACAGCCCTCTATCATATTACAATCTTATCTTTAATGGAAATTCTCAAGGGACTCAATTAACAGGAAATGGGTTCAAAAGCAGGAGAGAGAGAAGCAAGAGATTAGGACCCATGATTAGAACCCAAGGGTTGACATTAATCCCAATGCGCTTCCTTTGAAACCTCTTCCTCACATACTCTCTCCTCTGTTCTTCACCCCACTGAGCTTCATCCAATCCCTTAGCAAGCACCAATGGTGGTGGTTGTTGGAATGGGCACTTGGCCCTCCAAGAGGTCTCAGGTAAACCAAACCTTGAAACCCTTTTGAGGAAGCGAGAGAAAGCCCACCTCAGGTGGATGGGAGGGAAGGTGGTGGTGGATTTTCTGCAGAGGATAGGTGGGTAGTCCCAGTTGAGATAGCAAGGGACTTGTGTGGAGATGAAGAATTGAGAGTGGAGGGTTGGGGTGGTGGTGGGGTTGGTGAGGATGTGTGTTAGGGCATGGAGTTTTTGATCCCACGTTGTGTCTTCCATCAATTCATGGTCATTGATTTGTGTGCGTGTGTGCGTCAGAGAGAGAGAGATCCAAGGAGGGTCAGACTGGATAGGGTTTGGTGTTTCAGGCTGCTGGGTTGGTGGACGGAGGTGATGGAATGTGAATTTACCAAAAAGGGCAGGAGCTAGAAATATGACATCGTCTAAGATAAATATAATTTATTATCTCCAACTTTTTTAAGTGGCCCCGCAACGGGCTGAGTTAACCCAGGTTTCAATTGATGGCCCATGATTAATAATGGGCCAGGCCATCATTGATTGGTCAATGGTCACAATGCCGGATTGGGTTAATGTGGAACTCCTATAGCCCGTGACCTACTAGTAGGTCAACCTGGAAAACCCCTTCCATCTTTTATTTTCATCCGGAACATTGCAAGTTTTGGAACTATTTGTTTCTCAATATGTGATAAAGTTTCATGTTTTAAGACACCAACAACCGAGGTTGAAAAATAATAATGTTGAAAGAAATGCATCTTATAAAGCTCCATGTTTTTAAGACTCTCTCTCAAAAAGCAAGGTTGATAATCTATAATTTTGAAGATTAGATTGACTTAGCAATGTAATTATGTATACAACCCATCTAGAATTAGTGTAGTATTTACTTCACTTTTCTTTTTCTTTTTGATAGTCTTAATAAAGTGACACTTATCTTGTTTCAAAATTGAAATAGAAAGAACCCCAACGAGTAATTCAAGTGATAATAGGGATGAACTATAAATTCAAATGTCCTGAGTTCGAATCTTAACAACTACTTAGGGTCAGGTCATAAGAGTTTTATTCCTCATAAATATCCTAGTCCTAGCATGAATGGACCTTTGACCGGATCGGGACGAAAATTAATTGAAGTATGCGTAAACTAACCCAAACATTTTCGACCGTTGAACCCAAAAAAAAAAAAAATTAAAATAGAAAGGGGGATCAAATTTATGGCCATCTGATGCCAAGAGCTACTTGCTATATGACTTTCAAGCTAAAAGCATAGGTTGAAAAACATAACAAGTTTTAACACACGAGTTAGCTCAGTGATCAAATAAAAGAGCAAGGATTAAATATGCACTCTTGAGTTTGAATTCCAAACCTCATAACATCCATATTTACTGGTACATGGAGTCTGCAAGTGATTGCATATTGGGATGACTTCAGCATTACCAACTCCAAAAATTATTCACCGCCTACATTGATTCCAATTTCATTTCAAAACAAAGATATCACAGTAACGGTATGTTTATGAACATTGCATATTAACACAAAAACCTAAATATGGTATACTTTCATTGACTACTTCAATTTTATACAAACCAGTTCGACTATAATCGTGGAGCTGAAGCACTTAGACTCCAGTATCACTTCACTGTTGGACACAACCAGGTTAAACCAAACAATATCCAGACAAAATTCAAACCTTCCTATAATGGGAGACTCATTCGGACAATATATTCATGATTTAAAATGGAATCAGCGAGCACCTTTCTGCGTTGTCACAAAGACTGCTCCCAGCTAGCTGAATTGTGAGGAGAGAAACATCCAAGCACTCAGTACAGGAAAGGTGATTAGAGCAGAAGCCTGGAATATACAAATTCAGTTAAATTCGATGCTGGTTCAAAAAAAAAATACATCGGTCCACATAAACTTGGCATAAAATCGGACAAATTCAAAAAATGAGAAAAGAATTGAAATGACATACCACGAAAAATACCACTTCTTGGTTCGCAAGAGGCGCAGTAAATTGATTCCGTTCCATTTCCTGCTTAATGAAGCCTTGCAACTGAATTAAAAATAGGCGGTCAGAATAATGAGCACTGTACTAGTGATGTCAACTTGATGCATAGACAATAGGTCCTCCTCAGACATGTATGGATCTGGTCAAGAAAAACTAGAAAACTATGATGGTATAACAAGAAACCCAACTCTTACAGATTATTTTGATAGTATGGAGTAAAACAATAAGACAAAAACACTTCAATAAGACACACACATATGTACATTTATTATGAGCAGACAACATTACAAAAACTGGGGAACACCGAACGCCCAACAGGGCGCTGCAAAGTAAACCTGCTATCAGACTTAGTTATGCATACACTTGATAATCAGAGAAAATAATGGAAAATTAGTTGGGAGAATTTTTCAGGTTTGCCGACATGCGAAGCTATTCAGTTTGGATTGGTTGGCTGAAAACAAAGTAAAATTCTTCGTACATCATTTCTCCATCTTCCAGATATGATTGGACTTCCATGCTATTTTTATCTCATCAAGCAAGCCATGACATGTCTCCATGGGATAGGACACGTTCTCAAGGAAGATCAAGGGAGTATAACCAGATTTTCATCACATGGGATCAAAGGTATCATTGAGGAGCTGTAATGATTCAACTAGCAGCAAACCCAAAGGTTCCTCTATGCACATATTTTTAACTTCGAAGAGATTGTGATGTCCCGATTCACCACCACCACCACCAAAAAGGAAAAAAAATGAGGAAAAACAGCAAAACTGCCTAAAACATTACGATATTGTTAATTATCCATTGATTTTTTTTCCTTTTTTTCATGGGGTTGGGGAGAGTAAGTTCATACCTGATGATGATAATGCTTCGCGACTGACAATGTCCATTCAAAATATTGCAAAGCTTTATACATGTACGAACTCAAAGCAGACCCTTTGTCAAATACATACAAATCGAGCGTCTGCTTTAAATTTTGTAGATGGTTGCCGAAAATGTGTTTGATGAACTACAAAACACACAAAGGAGTAGATTTGGTTATGACTTGCTCATTAGAGAAAGCCTTGCAAAACAAGGAACTCCTCAGATTTTAACTATTCTTGATGCCATACGACTGATGGTACACTAAAATGTCATGGAATTAAACTTCAGTGACATTTTATGAACAGTTCTGAAATTCAAAAAGCCACATAGAGTAAAAAGTGTTGAATATAAAGATTTTATTGCTACCTTGACGAATGTGCATCTTGTGGAGCTTACTTGCCTTTTAAATTTCAATGCTCTTATCTGCGAAAAAAAATTCATTCGATCACTGACAAAAAAATTCCAACTAGATAAGGAACACCAGTTCCCTGTGAAAATGGCATATAAAAAAAATGTTATCATTGAGATAGTACTTCCGCGATTTGAACAGCCTGTTCAAGTTGCTGAATTTGAATCCATTGCTCAGCAACAATATCGGTCATCTGTAAGCACACAAATTAAAAAAGTACACCCATAATTAGTCAAACCTTTGCACATGAATAGAGATTTCTTTGAACACTGTAAATACGTCTGTGTGTGTGCATGTGTATCTATGAAAACACTCACACACAGCAATAAATATCATTGATTGATTAAGTGCATCCTAGTTAACTGGGCAAGATACGTCCACTATCAATAGACAGATCAAGAACAGCCAAGAGCATACTACATTCTGAATTTCACATCAAACAGATGAAAAAAATTAACACAGACTTTCGCTGCACATACAAAGAACATTAATGCTATAATTCACGAAAAATTCATCAACGCGGTCAACTAGTTCATCAACCAGAAACGTGATTAGGACTTCTGACCCTTTTAGCTTGTGAAGTAACCAGATCCAATCTTTTCTCTGCATCTTGAGCTTTAACCTCTAATGCATGAATCTCAAAGTTGTTTTTCCGAGAGGCAGCCCAGAGAAGTCGAACCTAAACATTCCCATGTCCACTTTTTAGCTCTAATGAACACTTAAATGAGTTGTTAAAGTAAAAGGTAAGATGAAACTAAATAGAACAAAATCAAACCTCTTCTTCTAGTGCACCAAGCACCTCTTCAGCATGTGATGAATCAATCTGAAATAAAAGCAGATGAACAATCATGCCACAATGTAAATACAGTGCATACACTAATTTTTTCCCTTCTGGAAGCACTATCATCCTACTTAAATATTGACTTTGCTTCGTCACATATGAATAAATGATGACCCACCCACTCTAGCAGGAAAAAAATCTCAAAATCTATGTTTTGTGCTACAGACATAATTTAGATGGTATAATCACAGGGAAATATGATAAATTCAGACCATATTTTTCTTTTTCTAATAAAAACAGAAATTATAGTTTACGTTATACTGATTTAGTTTATCAGTCATAATCAAGCGACTGTGATTTTTGTGAGAGAGAGAGAGATAAGGGAAACCATTCTCACAGAATTTTAGCTGCATAAATCAAATGGAGACACACTGCTTAAATTTCATTTAATTGCAAACCAAAGCATATCTACAAAAGGACTATCATTGATCTTAGGATGTCAAGATGGAAACAAAAGAAAGATATGGGAAGGACAGAATTCTGAATGTGAATTCATTCACGAACCAATTAGAGGTTCAACTAGCTGTGATCAATATGCAAGGAGATTAGGTAAGATCACGGGGAAGCCAAGGTTGTCCTACTGTGGGGCAATCAATTGTTTAAGAAGAACAACCGCATAACAATCATTATTTTTTTTTTTTGCGAATTCATGTCGATTTTCACACAACAATCACATAAAATTCAAACCGATTTTCAAGAGATCCGAATTCGATTTAAAAATATTTTTTAATCTGATATGAACATTCAACGAAATTTTTTTAATAGTCTATATCCAAATAAAGTAAATATTAAACATTCGAACGGAGACATGAGTTATTTAGAGATGAATTTTAATAAATTACATTTTAGTTCAATTCAATTATATCAAGTAATACTCAATTGCATCATATATCGACACATATGAATGTAATAAATCAAATTAAATTTTGGTATTTCAAAATTTAAATTTGTGAAATAGGGCATAATTGATATGAACTTGGATAATTGGTCAAAATTATCAATTAATGTCTAACTGATCGAATTCTGACTCAAATTGAATTCAAGTTAAAATTCAATATATTTAAGAGACCTAAATTTAAATTTATGAAATAATCCCATTTGATTTTTAAATATGAAACTATTCGTAATTTTTTACAAATTTTTGTGGGGAAAGTTTTTAAAAAAACTTTAGATTTTTAAAATTTCAAAGAGACCCCAAAAATTTTGAAAAAATTTAGTAGGGGCAACTGCATCCATTTCCCCGACCTTTTATTTGCCCCTGGGTCTTTAGAACAAAACCCAAATACCGATATTAACAGTATTCAGATTGAAGGCTCTACAAGGGCGTGCCATTTGCCAAAAATACATAAATGAGGCAATAGCAATTGAAGGATAAATATACAACATTACATACCAACAGGAACGAAGATACTGGCCCACAAATAACTACAAAGATGGTCTTAGATAAAATGGAGCAGAGACATGATTGTTCTATCAATTCATCGGGTAAAGCTTCGTTGAATTGAGTTGAAACAAATGAATGACAAAATATAGCAATGTATGAATACTCTGTAGTGATGCCTACACTAAGACTAATTTCATCCAACAAGATTCAGGGGATAGAATTAAAAATTTATATTACTTTACCAGCTAGTATATTAAACAACTAGCAAAACCCTGTTCCTAAAGACGTGGTGCAACAAAAAATCTAAGAGTCCAAAAAATCGATCCCTCTAATTTCTTGTCTTCCCTTTCTTTAATTATATAATCTGAAATTAATCGATATAATTTCTCAAGATACATGTCCGCAAAAAAATCAACATATGTACAATATATGAATAATGTTCGAAATAAAATTTGTATTGAGCCACAAATTAATCTAGAATTAAATGATTCAACTTCTTTGTGATAGAAATGGGCGTGGAAATATGTGGGGATAAAATTCAAATATCTAGCTCTAGAACACCTCATATTAGTGTACTTGTAGAAAAAAGGCAAATCAAACCTTCAAACTGGACAAAACGGAGTGTAAACGATCAATTTCGTGGTTCATATCTGCAATTAGCTTTTCACTTTCTCTGAGCTTAATGCTCTTAGCATTTAAGTCTTGGATGCTTTCCTCAAGGATCGATTCTGCATTCATATCCACGCATTATAAATTGAAATTTTTCATTGATTACTGTGAAATCTATATCAACTCCGAGAAAAATTATCAAATCCAACAGTTAAGCCACCATATCACCTACACCTATAACATGAGGGGATTAAACTAACTGAATGTATAATTTACCTAACCGAGCGATCTTGAGCTTGACTTCGTGCAATTCGGATATCAGATGCTGGTTATTGCATGAGATTTGAGAATCGATCTGAGGAATCAGAGCAGTGGATTTTAAGAGAAAGAGTAGATATGACAAAATGGCGGGAACCAGAACCATTGGAATCGCCATTTTTCTATGCTCTGCGACCTTGCGAATCAAAACTTCTTCTGGGACTAAAAATGTAAAAAAATTTGCCTCTTCACGACCATAAAATTTAGGGTAAATTACAGAAATGGTCTCCTAAGTTTAACATTTGTTGCACTTTGATCCTTTAAACATTAATTATATCAATTTGATCCTCAAAGTTTACATATTGAGTAAATACAGCCCCCAAAACTAACTACCGTTTAAATAATGGACGGAAATGTCACATCATGAGTTTTCCTTGTTTGATTTTGCATTAATTTTGACAGCCTAAATTGAACTGTTGGAGTTCACTGAAAATTTGTCAAAAGAAAAACATGAGGGAGTAAATTATAGTGAGAATTATTGAAAATTATAAACTCCTTACCTAATTTGTATATAAGTTTAGACATATAAGGCATGGGGTCCAGCTTCCAAACAATTTTTTTTATTTTTTTTAAATAATAATATTATTCATTGCGTTGTTACACTTTATCCAACTGAATTCAAATAAGAGCCATTATCTTCCTCGTAGATAAATCTAACTCTTTTTTCATATAAATTTACCACCGTCACCACCACCACCGACAGCAACAGTGAACTACATGACAATGAATTCAATTACTGTAAATTATAAAATTTAATTCTTCTTTTATTCAAAATATATAACAAAACACATTTACGGACCTTTCACCGTTTGTCTTGAAAGTGTCAAAGGTGAACATCTCCCCTTAAAAGTGCACAACTTTGTAGAAGTTCTTTTAATTATAATTCTACCCAAAGTTGGAGGGGACAATTTATAATTAATCCTAAAAATAAAAGACAAACTTTGGTGGAAAAAAACAAATTTGTATCCTTTCAAAACTTCCACATGCATTGCATGTATTATATCAATTGGTGATAATATATAAAAAAATTTAGAGGTCGATTTTCCTATATGCACTTGTTTAAACTTAAATCTGCCAAAAAAAATTATTTATTATGAAATTTGTTTTTTTGTCAATTTTACCAAATTATCTATTCCTTTTAAAAATGAAGTAAAACTAAAAATTTATAAATTTTAGGAGTTTGACTAACATTAAAATTTTTGTTCTCTGATATCTATTTATATCCATATATATATATGTTAGAACTATATCTCACTCATTCATATATATATATATATAAACATTAAAAATAAAAATAGTAACATTTAAATAAAAAATTAGATATCATTTAAACACAAAAAATAATATAATTTAAACACAATAAAATAGTAATATTTAAACATAAAAAAATAGTAATATTTAATATTAATATTTTTAGAAAAACAACAATAGTAACATGTTCAAAAAAAATAGTAATCTTGAACATTGAAAAAAATTAAAAATAAAAATAAAAATAGTAGCATTCAACCCTATAACTAGATGAAGAAGCCTCTAAGTTTTCAAAAATTTCATTATTTTTTACATTCCTAATTTTAAAATGTGATTCATTGTTACTAAATTAAATGATGTATGTTTCAATTTTTTTATATCTTTTGTTGTGTAATACAATCGAAAAATACTTGATTGTGTTACTTGTGGGAAAAAAATTGATGTTAGTACGAGAAAAAAAAAATTATTTTTACATATTCAATAACTTGACATTCATAAGTGATGATAAGTGTTATAATTTAAATGATGATTATATGTTAATACTTTAAATAATGTAATTTTTTGATTTATGGACCATATTTTGTGAAAAGTAAGAAAATATTATTGTCAGTGTGAAAGAAAAATTATTGTTATTTAATTGATGTTACTGTGTGAAAAAAAACTCGTTAATGTTACTATGCAACATATATCCCTATGAGTTTTGTTAAAATTGTTATGTTACTGTGCATAAAAATTTGATATTATTGTGAAGAAAAAAAAATAGATGTTAGATTACAGTTTATAATTGTTATTGTGAAGGATTGCATTTGTTATTGAATAAGAAGATATTTTTTTAACGAGAAAGATAATATAAATTTCAATTTCAATTTAAGAGTAAATTAAGGGGTAAAATTTCTAATTTAAGAAATTATGAAATTAATTTAAAGACACTTTTAAGGATTTAAAAGTTTCAATAATTGAACAAAATAACATTGTTAAAAATATTTTAAAGATTTAAAAAATAATAAATTTAAATACTTATTAATAAAATTAAAAATAGACTTATATATAAGCCCAATTATATTCTGACTCGAACGCTGTGTTCCCTTCTGCCACCGCCTCCTCCAGACACTGTTAAACCCCTAAACCCCCACTAAACTCCTATATAAAGGACTGTATCGTTACTCATCCTAACCTCCACACACTACGGTTGGCTCTTTTGCTTTTCGTCTTTCTTTCCAGAGTTTGGTTCTGAGCTACTGGTACCGGTGGTACCGACCGGTACCATGGCAATATCTATTGGTACCACAGAGCAGTCTCATAAGTCTCACAGGTCCCGTCGATCTGGTCACTCCGCCAAGAAAAAGGCCGAATCCGATAGCAAAAAGCGCGAAATTTCGGAGAACCAGAAAAAGCACAATCATAAGGTCCAATTTCAATTCCACACACGAACACACACACACACACATAATGAGATTTTGAATAAAGTTATATGGATATATGTTCTAGGCGTTTGCATTTAGTTCTACGGTGAAAACCAAGCGGTTACAGTCGCGTGCTACTGAAAAAGAGCAGCGTAGTCTTCATGTCCCAACCATTGACCGCAACACTGGAGAACCAGCTCCGTATGTTGTTCTTGTCCACGGCCCTCCCAAGGTAATTTCCAAGAACAGAGTGAAGTGCTAGTGAAAATTGTTGAATTTTGGTTTATTTGAATTTGAATGTATTTTTTGGTTGTTCTCCTAGGTGGGGAAGTCACTCCTCATAAAGTCACTTGTTAAGCATTACACCAAGCATAACTTACCCGAAGTCCGAGGCCCCGTTACTATTGTATCAGGTTTTGAAAAATTTGCCCTCTTTATAAAATATCACGTTTTGTGATGCTTGGATAGTTGGATAGATAGGGTGTTATTTATGGAGGTATTGAATGAGTGATTGATTAAATTATATCAGGCAAGCAAAGGCGGCTACAATTTGTGGAGTGCCCGAATGATATTAATGCCATGATTGATGCTGCAAAGTTTGCTGATTTAGCATTGCTCCTCATTGATGGAAGCTATGGCTTTGAAATGGTGTGGGTTTTTTGTTGCTTTCTTTCATGCTTATATGCTTCTTTATACATACTTTTGCATTAATCAGTTATTAAGCTACAACTGAAACAGCGGATGTGGGTTTAGTTCATATAGATGCAGGTCCAATTGAGGACGTGGGTTCGGTTAGTATAGATCCTGACATAGAGGACGTGGGTATGGTTCATAACTGCCTAGATAATGATTAGATCATCATAGATGCAGGTCCAACTGAGCAACCAGAGGGATGTTGATCGTGTAGAATTCATATAGACTTAAATTTGACGCAATTATAACCAAATATCTTAAATCAGATTTGGATTCAACTTTTACAATTGTAACAAATTGATGGACCTCGAAGAGTTAGGAAATGGAACTCACGATATTTTGCCATGCTAGCTGTAGAATCAGGAGGACCCGCTCAAAAGACAACAGAAATGCATGCTAGAGCTAATTTATGGGGAATATCTGGTCTGTTTGCTTGAGTTTAGCAAAGGGGTTTGTTGAGGAGTCTAAGTAGTCATTGGGTATACTTGTTATAAATAAGTCTTTGGACAGTAGAACAGGGAACTAAGAAATTTGATTGTAATTGTGGTTGTCTCCAGCCCAAATTGGAGAATTCTATTGCATTCCAGTACTTTAGTGTGAGTTATTTGTTGAGTTCCAACACCAATACCATAACCAAATTCTAATGGAGTTGAACTGAAGTAATTATCAGATCTATGTCTAACCAGTTGAAAGCCCTAATCTATATGAGTAACAGGGCTAAAAAAACCACCCGAAGACTATATGTAAGAAAATAAGCTACAGTAGCAACCACAATGTATGACACTAGTCCATCCACATCTAACTCTTTTTCCCACAAATACCTAATAATTAAAGAGCTAGTGTTTTAATGAAACTCAATACTCCTACAAAGAAACCATCAATTTGAATTTCTGCCTTGCCTAATTCAGGAGAATAACGTTGTCTACAATAATAGGAAAGACAAAAATCACAACTATTAAAATAATTTCAATCAAATACCCTCGGTGGGGGTGTCGTGTGCAAGAGGAGCAAGGGGTAGTGGCTCTGAGCATTCTATCATCTGGCTGTATTGGAATGATGTATTATGTATATTGTTCTTTGCCATCCCGTAATGGGGTCGAGCCACTTGTCTTGATCGTTTTGAGGGAATCTACATTTTGTCCATTGTGCACTTGTGCCGTTTGCATCAAGATTGTGCATGCATTTGATTCTTGCACACAAAAGAACGGCACACTAGTTCTTGCAGTTATATTAACAAGGCATGGAGTAATGACGAGTGTAATTACATAAGAGTGATGGCTTAGTGACAACTGCTCCCTATCAGTCTGACATTACAGGTGGAGCGGTGAGACTATCTCATGGATTGTGTTTGCTTTGTTTTCCTAGATGTAGTCATGATTTTGAGCAGAGACATTGCGTTTATATGTGAGATGCCCATCAGCTGGGTTTGAGGGGATGGATGGATCTGATGAAACGGTCACCGTTCTTACCCCTTTGACTGGTTTTAATAGGTGGCCCTAAAGGTTATTCTATTCACTTTTCATCCGTAGTAATTTTCTGGTCATGGAGATTTATCCCTTAAGAACTTTTTTTTATTCCTCTCGAGTGTCTGCTTCCTCCTGTGTTGAAGTGCAAATAATTGTAACCATGTATGAAATGAGGACATTTATCTAGCGTTTTCTTTGTAAAGTAATTTGGTTGCAGTCAAGGCCCAAATTATTCCTTGCTCTACTAGCTTCTCAGACAAACAATTTTTGGAACTTTTTCATCCAAGTAGTTGAATTCGGTGAATTTATGGTGTAAATAGAGCATCTAATTTCTTGGTTATTAGAAATAACCTTTGCAGTTTCTACGAACTTGCTTGTCAGATAATCCAAATGATTGGATTTCTATGCATCAACTTTCACTAAATTAAATGATCTGTTTATTTTTGCCATCATAATATATTCCTAACTACACTATATAGAATTGTGTTGTTCGGCATGTCCATTGTTTGTCTTTCTACTATGTTGTGTCGTACAACTCCTTTCCTTGTTAGGGCGTGATTTGTCATTAAACTGTCCTTTTTGAATGGATTGGTGCTTTCGCTTTTGCAGGAAACCTTTGAGTTTCTTAATATCTTGCAAGTTCATGGATTCCCTAAGGTTATGGGAGTTCTTACACATCTTGATAAGTTCAAGGATGTAAATAAACTTAAAAAAACAAAGCAGCGACTCAAGCATCGATTCTGGACTGAAATATATGATGGAGCTAAGCTATTTTATTTATCTGGTCTTGTTCATGGAAAGTAAGTATCTCATTACCTTTTCTTTTGTTGTACATCTTCATTGCTTCATCTGATGGTTTTTCAACATTTTAACTTGATACTTACTAATTTACTATCAATTTTCTGAATCACAGGTATCACAAACGAGAGATTCATAATCTTGCCAGGTTCATTTCTGTTATGAAGTTTCACCCGTTGTCTTGGCGAACTTCTCATCCTTACGTCTTGATAGATCGTTTTGAGGATGTGACACCTCGGGAAAGAGTGCACTTGGATAAGAAGTGTGACAGGAATGTCATTCTGTATGGTTATGTGCGAGGCTGCAATTTGAAGGAAGGAACAAAGGCATGTATATCTCACGTTCTCATGTGCTATTGTTTTCTAATTTCTAAGTTTTAAACTAGGAACAAGGGAAATGTTTGAATTCTGTGCTTAAGGACGAGAAAAAAGAGAAAAAAAACAAAATTCAGATCTGGTCCTTAATTCTGCCAGGAGCTCCAGTTTGAATTTTTCCTAACCCTCTCAAATCTGCTGCAAGCTAAATATCAAGACTTGCACAATCTATTGACAACAAAGATGGATTGCAAAGACAATGAAGCAACAACGATACTAATGATGGCAACAAATGAAGAAGCAACAATGGATCAAAAACTGGCTCCGATACCATGAAAACATAGATGAAATTGTGCAAAGAAGAGAAGCTATACAAAGAAGGAATAGAAAGGAAGAAAAACTATATGCGGCTGTTTAATGTTCCATAGTGATAAAAAGTGGTTACAAGAGGCAATATGTAGTGAACCTTACAATAAGAAAAGACTAGACTAGACTACCCCTGCCTATAAATAAATATACTGAGAGTTTAACAATACTTAGGCTTGCACTGTTCTAATTTTAGAATAGACATCTCTGTGATAAGTCATACTTTAATATATCATAAATAAACTAAAAATACCAACCCAAATAAAGGAAAAAGCAAAAGAACAACTTGTCAGAATTTTCCTAGAGAAACAAGGTCTCCAAAACCAAAGGAAGCATGAAACAACTCTTGAATTTTGCTCGTGAAGATGTGCCCTGCTTTAAAACTTACACTCACTCTAGAAAGAGAAAACAACAAACACACAGTTTCAATGAATTTTATTCAACTTTAGAATTATGAGCTTTTTTTCCTAAAAAATCTCCATGCTACAAATTTCAGTTCCTCCATGGTACTTTCTGCCAAAATAATAACTATTACAATACTTAAAACATAAATTGAAGATTAATGTAAGACCTAACAAAAACCTTGAGAGAGAGAATTTATTTTTTCAATCTTGTATTTCTGTTACTTATCGAACATAGAATAATACAACTCACCTTTTTTTTTATTTTTATTTTTAATGTCTAACAGCTGGGTGAATTTGAAACTATGGAAGATTAGACTTTGGTTTTTGAACGGCGGATATATTTTGTCCGGGGCCACAATGCAAAGTTTATAAAATCTCTTTTCTTTTCCTTTTTATTTTATTTTTTTTTTTGTTTGGGGGGTTGCGGGTGGGGAGCCTGGAACAAGACTCGGGGGTTACTATGAAGCATTTGAATTGCTCCTTTTTGTTGGAATAGGTGAAAGTCTTCGTCTCAGGGTTTTTTTTTTCTTATCAACACAGACTCTTATAAGATGAGAAGACAAGCCCTTTACTTTGACCCTATATATTATATGGCTTGTCAAATCCAATGACCACCCCTGGCCGTGACATGGCTCTGCCACTTGGTGGCCTGTTGTGCCCAAAGACTAGTGTGCAACAAACCAGTTGCTGCTGTTATCACTCCTCAGTCCAACACAAAGATACCGGGATCGTAGATACCCCTAGCATCCCATGAACCAGGGTCGCACAACCCGGAATGGGGGGGGGGTTTGTGATCCACGTCCCAAACCCAAATTATAACTCAAATCGCAAATTGATTCATGATTTAAGTAATCTCGCATCACAACCCCAATTCCAAATCATAACTCTAACATTCTATTTATTTATTTTGGTGTTCTTTAAACTCATATTTTGACAACATTTATCAGAAATTTAAAATAAATATATATTAACTACGTGTATATGGATGTTTTATTCTATATAAGTTACAAAACAAATTGCGACCCAAAACGGCGTAGCAACTAAGCCTACTACCATGTATTGGAAGAGATACTGTACCACGTACCCGTACCTGCATCACGTATCAATTTGATCCACAATCCAAGTAACATTGGGACTCCAACAATGTATCTCTATTGTTACTCTGGCCGACTGTGAAACACTGAACATCTCATCAGATATATGGCCATATATGGCTTGTTCTCAATAATACATGATGCATTTATTTTTCATACGAGAAAATTATTTTTACATACTTTGCTTGTATGTTCTTCCATTGTATTGCTATGTTTTCCTTTAGTTTATCTTTAAGGAAGTAGTTATAGAACTGCATTGGTGCTTTGGCTTATCCCTTGCTTGATGGTTGGGCAAAAGAATTTTTGCCCCATTTTTTCATTTTAAAATGATGTGCTGTCATCTTGATTCCAGTTCCTTTCTCTTGCTTGTGCGAACTAATCTATACTTTTTGACTAGGTGCATATTGCTGGTGTGGGTGATTACTATTTAGCTGGCATTACAGGATTAGCTGATCCTTGCCCTTTACCTGCGGCTGCAAAAAAGAAGGGACTGCGAGACCAGGAGAAGCTATTATATGCACCAATGTCCGGACGGGGAGATCTCATTTATGATAAGGATGCTGTCTACATAAACATAAATGACCACTTCATGCAGTTCTCTAATGTGGATGATGAACACAGTGGAGTGACATGGAAAGGTATTCAGTATTGTCTTTTCTATTTTTAGTGCTCAAACTATATTTACTTCACTATTGTTATGTATTTATACATGTACTCTCTTTGCCTGCCATGGTCAGTTTTATATGATTCTGTTTATTTTAGTGAAAATCTGAAATGAAGCTGTGGTGGTTAAATAATGCAAAGGGCAAAGTGTGAAGATCTAACTATATTGACCTTCTCTGCACTGGCTTCATGCTGTTTCTGCTAAAATGATTGTGTACATATGTTCCAGGAAAGGATGGTGATGTGGGTGAGGAACTTGTGAAATTACTTCAGAACACAATGTATCCTGTTGATAAGAAGTTTGAGGAATGCTCCATTGAAGTTTTCAGCAAGAAACCTAACATCCCATCAGAAGGTACGAGTGAGGTGGAATATGCTCAAGTACCTTTCGATCAGACTAAAGACGTAGAGCCTGAGGAGCAATATCAGTCAGGACTAGTACTTAAAACTTATGGGTCTGGTGAAGAAAGTGATGCTGGGGATCTGGACAGTTTGGGCTCTTCAGATGAAGAGAAAAATCTTGGAAAGAATTTAACTATTAGAGCTTTTGGTGCTGAGTCTGATGGGAAAAATTATGATGCATCCGAGCAGCAGCATCATCCTTCAAAAAATAACTTAGAGGAACATGTTGAGTTTTACGAGGGAAGGATGAGGAGAAAAGCTGTCTTAGGAAATGACATGGATCTTGATGAGTTGAAGGTAATGCTATCACAATTATTTTAATGTCAGGATTTCTTTTATTTTCTTAACCCTGGACTTTTTTTCTTATTTTTTTATGGGGAATGGTGGTGTGGGGCACTCTAGTCCAATGTTATTTAAGGCGTAAAGCGAACCGAAGTGACCAAGGCTCCTAACGCCTAGGCGAGAAGCGAGAAGCGAAGCGAGACGCTTTACCGAAGCGAAGCGAACAGTTAAAAAAAATATATATTTTAGTTTAATTACTTCTAAACAATCTAAGTTCTAATTTTATATATACTAAATATTTAAATGCAAGTAAAACCATAAACATTTAAATTAAAACAAACACTAATAATATCTCAAATCTTAATAACAGTCATAACTTAAACATTTAAATTCAAACAAATACTAACAATTGTATACATTTTCATATTGACAGGGTAGGACAACAAAAGAAGCAGAATCAGGACAGCAGCAGAATTAGCAACAAAAAAAAAAGAAGCAGAATGAGGATAAAAAAAATAAAAGTAACACAGGACAGCAAAACCAAAGCAGCAACAGAATCAACAAAAAAAAATAGAAGCATAATGAGCTAAAAAAAAAACAGAAGTACAATGATCATGACAGGAGCAGAATCAATTGTAAACAATTTCATATGTAATTATATACTGAATAAAAAAAAGCAGAACAGAGACACATTTCACATATACTAAAATAATTAAACATGGTATAAGCATAGACTACTTTTTGGTACCATTTGTATATATATAAGAAAAGGGAAAAGTATAACCAAGACATATCAGAGACACTTATTTGTAGAAGAATCTATTATTTACCCCCATTCCTGATACTCCTGCTTCCTTTTTTTATCATAATTGTCATGCAGTCGCCTGACTCTCACATCCCACAAATATTCTAAATGAATTCAGCAACACAAGAAAAAAAAAAGGAATGTGTTTTGTTCGAAATATTGTTTATTAGAAAAAAAAAAAAACCTGTAATCAGAAAAAAAAAAAAAAAAAAAAGTGAAGCAGAATCGCCTTTTATAATAAAGCGTTCGCTTTTTCGCTTCTTTGCTTTTTCGTTTTTTCTCGCTTTTTTCTCGCTTCGCCTGGGGTCCTCCAAGCTAGATAAGCTCACCTCGCCTCGCTTCTCGCCTAGGCGAGCGCCTAGACAAGCTTTTCAAAACACTGCTCTAGTCTGATGTTAAAGTATCATTTTGTTTCAGTTCTTCTTTGTATCCTGTTTACTTTATTCAGTTGTTTGCATACACCCTTGTGGTTTGTGGTGAAGCATGTGATGTTCTTCCTAAAATTAGAAGCCTTTGGAAATATGCGGGGCTTCTTATTGTTTCAACTGTGATGTTAATTTCAAATCCGTCAAGTACCGTCATTTCTTGATTTTTTATTATACTAATTTGTTCAGAAAGTTAGATTCTTCTTCTTTGTCTTTTTCTTGGAAATTCCATAATTTAGGCTATTTTGATTTTTCTCTCTATCTCAGGTCTTTTTCCCTGATCCGCAAAATCAATTTTTAATCAGCAGTGTAAATAAAAGGTTAAAAAAGGAAGAAAGAAAGAAACAAAAAAGGGAGGGGGCATACTGAATTTCTCTTAGAAGTGGTTGCGTGTCATCCTTCTTGGCCCCCGCATACTCAAGGAATTAATCCTTAACTGCTTGATGTGTGGTTTTTGGGGTGGATGACAGACTGGCTAGGAGAATTAGACCCTCAAGGGATTTATCCTTAATTGTTTGATGTGTGGTTTTGGGCGGACTGCACATTGGCTAGGAAGATTAGTTTGTTCTTTGAAGAAAGTTGGATACCGCGTAATTATCCCCTCCTCCTCAAAAGAGAAGGAAATGAAAAAGAAATAAACTTCATGGAATCTGTAGAACTAGTTTTCATCCTAATCTCGAGGAGAAACTAAGACAAAACATAAAACCAGATTGTAGTTATGCCTTCATAGTTAAGTTGTTTGATACAGGAGAGCAAAATCTTGCTTCTAAAAAACATAAAACTAGATTATAGTTGCACCTGTGTAAATATCTTTGGATACTTTTAAGAATGGTTGTGGCATGAAGGCAAGGTAACCCCATATTATTATACTGGGTGGAAAACAAAATCATCCAAATGCTCCTGTACAACTTCACCCCCTTATGCTTGAAATATTTCTTTATAATCCTCCTGTGGTTTTGGACCAACTTGAACAACTTACTACGTTATCAGTGATGGTAAAATGACATTGATACACTCACGTCTCTCTAGTCCAACACCACTTCTCAACCCCTTGGGGCTAGTGCATCCAACGCCAACATGGGTCACTTAAAGTAGAGAATGATAGATTAAACACTTCCTGAGGCTACACTCACAAGTTTGCTTGGAGTTGCTTAACCCGATAGGCCTTGGCCAAGCCATCACATGGCCAAAACCTCCATGCCCATTGCCTGTGCCCCTGCCTAGTAAACCCCCAAACCTTTTGTCCCCGACTACGGCAGAACCCTCTTTTCACACCGCCTTCTATCTCTAAGACTAATCTACATCCGTTTAGCTCAATTGAAATTCAACTCTAATTCATTCAACCCCAAGAACAAGAATCATCATCCCTCCTCCTTGAGATCCAATCTGAATAAGCAGAAACAGAGGGAGTGGAGGGGAAAGAAGGGGTGTCGTGGGTTGCCCGGGGGTTTTGTAGTGTGGTTTGGATTGTCGTGGGTGAGAAAGTCCCTAAGAAGCATGGACACGAGATACGGATACGACACGACACGACACGACACGACACGTAGATACAACATTTCTAAAATAAGTAGGACACATACATGTTGGGGATATGCTATGATAAGTAATTGTTATTTAGTGTAAATTTTTAGACTAAAACATCATAACAAAACCAAATAAAACCAAACCAAACCAAACTAAGCTTTATGTCCCAATTATTTGGGGTCGATTATATGAGTCCGTTATCGTCATTCATTTCGGTCATGCACTACATGCTCATTTAAGTTAAATATTTTCTTATTATTTCGTTTAATGTTAATTTAGGTCTATCCCTATTTCTAGTACTATCAAGAGAAATTCTATCACTTTTTATGACCGGTGCCTCTATCGGCCTCAATTGAACATGATTAAACTATCTTAATATATTCTCTCTCAACTTGTCCTCAATTGGAGCTACTCTAATATGGTCATTTCATATTCTATCATTTCAAATTTTTTCACACATCCATTTTAACATTCTCATTTCCGTTACACTCTTTTTATCACTATGTTGTTTTTTAGTTGCCTAACATTCCGTCCTCTACAACATTATTATTTTTATAGCTGTTCGGTAAAATTTGCGTTTCAATTTTATTGATATCTTTCTATCATATAATATGCTAGAGGCTTTTCTCCACTTAAGTCAATCAGCGTTGATTTTATGAGTTACATCGTCTCCAATCTCTCCATTATTTTTAATAATCGATACTAGATATCTAAATCGTTTACTTGTTGGTATGTTTTAATTTTTAATTTTAACTTTTTCACTGTTTTTATTTCTTCTATTACTAAATTTGTATTGCATTTATTCAGTCTTACTCCTACCTATTTTAAACCTTTTTGAATCGAATGTTTCTCTCCAAATTTTAACTTATTGTTAATCTCCCTTCAAATAACATACATCGTGGAGCATCATCTTGAATATGCCCAGTGAGTGAGTTCATCCATAATTAGGGCGAATAAGTATAATCTTGTGACTAAAGTATCATAATAGTCAATAATCATTCATTATTTTTAGATAACGTGTACCCAACATATATAATTTAAATGATTGTTATTGTTTTCTTAATTTCTTTTTTTTTTAAATTTTTATGCATATTTTACTTTTATTATTATATTTTGAGTACAATTTAACATGTCTAGTATTGGTAATTATATATTAAATTATAATATAAGATACTTATTGTCAAATAATCACTTGTTGTTATTTAGTAGTAGGCATGGTCTAACGAAGTGTTGGACATGTGTCCAAAATTAAATTTTTTATCATTTAATTATGGATATGGATAAAAGAGTATTAGACACGTGTCTAAGAGTATCCGAAGAGTGTCGGTGCTAGACACGTGTCTTACACCTTCTTGAGAGTGTTCGTGCGTCATAGGAGAGAGATGATGAAGATGATGTTTAGTTTATTGCTTGTAGTCACAATTTTGTTTTTCTTTTGTAGATATTGGTGGAGGTGTTGATTATGGAAAGATGGTAGTGACCAATGATTATGGTGATGGTGACAGTTGGGGTGGTTATAGTAGACTATTATAGAGAGATAGGTAGACTGGTGTAGAAAGAAATGGGGGCAAACTGGTGTATAAAGAAATTGATTTTGTCATTTCTAAGGAATTATAAGGGCATATTTGTATTTTGATCACAACTTCGGAGAGAAAAAAGCTATTTTATGCTAATTCTTCAACCATGCAAGTGTCTCACACATTGTCAAACTGGACAAGAATTGCAACAGTTGCATGCCGGTCCAAAACCACTTAATGATTACGTATTTACGTGGTAATTTCTGAACAATTTTTTTTTGTTTTGGGTGTGGGGGGGGGGGGGGGGGCTTGAAGTTCTAGACGCAAGGGATAACATAAAATTTGTCCACATATTTATTCATTTTGGGTTTAAGATCATCCAAGTCTTAAACACCAAAATATCATCTAAACAAAGTTAACTCAATAAAAAAATCTAGAGAGAGTGGAACAAACCAATGTAACCAAAATAGTCATGTTTTAGAAAATTCAATTCAACAAAATTTCAATCTCAACAAATCAACAATCATGCAAACCGAGAACAATAACCGCAAAGATCAGAAACCTCAGATTCTCATAAAATGTTTATGTAGCTTAAGTTAACACTCCCCTAACATCTCTTTTTTATGGTTTTAAGTTAACCCGCCACATAGGGTCCAGTTTTATTGATAACTGAAATTAAAAAATAGTGGGGGTGACATAGACCTTACTCGTAACAAAAAAATAAAAACTGAAAATCACATAGAAATTATATATAAAAAAATATATCCCAAAAAAAAAGCCACACAGGATACCTTTTGAAAAGGAACTGCCAAAAGAGTCCTTATTTTTTATTTGTTTAGACTTTTTCCAAAAATCAACGACCATATCCTGGTTTATCTCCCAAAACCAGTGCTCTCTTCTCATGCTTTCCAAAAATCTTGCATGGTTAAGGGTTGAATTACCCTATTTGTATGACACAGACCCTTAGCTATAAAAAAATCAGCTTCTTTATTTTGGAAAAAAGATATGGAGATATAGAGTGAATTAATCGGGGGAAGTTAGAGGTGTTATTTGGGGAATTATAAATGGAAACTGTTTTGGGCAGGGAAAAAATTTGAAAGTGAATCTGATGTGTCAGATCAATAATTTTGAAGTGATCTGAGATGTGAGAAACTTGAGATGACATCGTTCACCGGATTTAGCCTTTTTTTTTACTCTGAATTAATCTGAAATGCGAAAAGCTTGAGATAAGTTTGGGAATTCAAAATGTGCTCTACTTTATTATATATATTTTTGCATAGAATATTGGTACATATTGGCCGGGATTATCTTTCTCCCCCATCCAAGTACCTGTTGAAGTATTATGTACAACTCACATTACTATTGGGGCTATGGTGTACAACTAATGTGAGTAGTACTTATTTTATGTACTTCTCTAGCTTATTTAATTCACCATACTTTTGGTCTCCTTTTTCGATTTGTATACTTGGAGTTTCAAATGCAGTTGTTCCACTCTGAACTTTTTAGTCTGAATGTATGATGTTAAGAGGTGTTTCTATCTGCTTATGTACTTTGCTTTCACTTCATTACAGGAGGATGCAGATGAAGATGATGAATCAAATGACGATGATGTGGATGATAAGTCTTCTTCTCATTCAGATTTTTCAGAGGAAGAAGATCGAGAGAGAGATGGTATGTTCTCTCACTTATTGTCATTTTTCTATGTTATTGGTGGTTGCATTTTCATTTTTGGAAATACAAGCTAGTATTTTATAAGAACAGATTTCGAGGATATATTGATATGAAGTAGGATTAATGGCTTGTCAGCTAACCGGTGCAAGTCCAGTAGCAGCAAAAGATCATATGAACACTGAATCATTCAGATTTTCTTTTTCTTTTTTCTTTTGTAAATCAAGTGCTTAGTCTTTGTCCGGGTAGAACTTTCCGGCCAGATTGTGGTGCTTTCCTTATGATTTTTTTTCTTGTTTCTGCTCTGTTGTTTTCACTCGTAGAGGATGATATGGGAAATGCTTCAAAATGGAAAGATTCCTTGGTGGAAAGGACCATTTCAAGACAGCATAGTAATCTTTTGCAACTTGTATATGGGAAATCTGAATCAAAGTTGAGTGCTTATACTAATGACGCTCAGTGTAGCACTGAGGATGAAGAAAGCGAGGACGATGAGCTATTTAAGCCAAAAGGAGAGGGAACAAAGGTTTGTCTTTTAGTTGCTCTTGATTTCTGACCCTTTCTTATTTCCTCAATAGTAAGATGTGTATGTTATTATAACCTAGAATATTAGGTTGTAGATTTCTTTGAAAATGATTTGATTGCTGTAATTTATGCCTTGCGAATTCTCCATGCTCTGTGGTTTATTGCAGAAATTGGGAGAGGGATCAGATACTGATAATGTAAATACTGATGATTATTCCAAAGTCACAAATCATTATAGTCTGCAAAACTGGAGAAAAGAAGAGTTTGCTGAAAGCATTCGTGACCGTTTTGTCACTGGAGATTGGTCAACAGCTGGTCGCAGAGGTCAAATCTCAGAAGCTGATAGTGATGGCGATGTTTTGGGTGATTTTGAAGACTTGGAAACAAGTGAAAAGCATGAGAGCCGTCAAACTAGTGATAATGGTGATGATGATGCAGTACACCAGCATGATGACGTAACAACCGAGGAGCGGAGGCTTAAAAAGCTTGCTATTCGTGCAAAATTTGACACTCAATATCCTTTCACTTGGAATATTAGAATTCCTTGTCCCCACTCTGTGTGTGTGTGTGTGTGTGTGTGTGGTACTAGTGGCTGCAGGGGAGTTGTTTGGTGCTATGGTTTACTGTTGGTTAATGAATCACTATTCAGATACGTTTGTATTGTCTGTTATTATCCACAGGTGGCTTGAGTATTATGACTGCATTTGGTGTTTATTTAGCACTCAGCAATCTTGTTTCTGTTTTTCGTCATACTGGTTTTTTGCATGTGTCAACAAAAAATTAAAAAGTTGATTCCTTGACCTTAATTCTGATCTACGTATGATGGGTCTGAATCACTTGATGAGGAAAATGGCAACAAACGTGGAACCAAATTTCATCGGAACCAGGTGAACGACAGTGGATTTGTTGAAAAGGTAATTTTTTAGCAACTTCATTTGTATTTTTTCCTGTTATTTTGAAAAATTACGAGTAATGATGATGATGGTGCTGTAGCTCAAAGAGGAGATTGAACTTCGCAAGCAACATAATATAGCTGAGCTAAATGATCTTGACGAGGCCAAGCAGTTGGAAATTGAGGGATACAGAACAGGGACTTACGTCAGATTGGAGATTCATGGTGTTCCCTGTGAAATGGTTGAACATTTTGATCCCCGTGATCCTATTCTTATTGGAGGAATCGGGCTTGCAGAGGAAAATGTTGGATACATGCAGGTTAGAAATTTAAAGGTTTTCAAGAATTCTTCTTGTTTTCTTCAGTGTACCAATTTAAAAAGTCACTGTGGTGTAATTTGTCATAACTTTCCCCGTTTTGGCTTATGATATGTTGTGTGCGTAGTTGGTTGTTGAGTGTTTGTGTTCTTTCAAAATAAAAATTCAAATCCAGGTCAAATGACTCTGTTTTTTGAAATTCCACACGTAAATCTTACTTCCATTAGTTTCATGCATGAATTTAGACCATATAAATCTTGAAATGGGTAAGAAGCAAATTCTTAGGTACCCGTGCAAATTTTATATGTTGCTCTTGTGGCTTATGAAGTTGTGGAGAATATAGATCTAGAGGGGAAGAAGATATTGTTTTTAAAATTGATTTTCAAAAGGCTTATGACCCGTGGATTGAATTTTTTTGGATTATGGAAGTGAAAGGATTTTCAGGAAGGTGGAGGAGTTGGATTATGGATTGTTTGCAGCCAATGGATTTATTTGTTATGCTTAGTGGGAAGGCTAGAGGGAGGTTCAAGGCATTAAGGGGGCGTAGACAAGTGATCATTTATTGCTTTTTCTTTTTACTCTAGTGGCTCATGGTGATGGCCTTAGTAGGCTAGTAATGAGGGTTGAAAGATTTAATCTTGTGGAGGTATTTTATTAGGAAGGAGAGGATCTTGGTATCACTCTTGCAATTTGCCAATGGCACAAAAATCTTTGCTTCGAGGGATGAGGAAAATTTTCAAAACTTTAAGAAAGTTGTGGACGTGTTTAGTATAGTTTCAAGGTTAAAGGTAAATTTTGAGAAAAAAACATAATTGTGAGCATAAATTCTAATCAAGATAATATCCGTAGGTTTATTGATTTTTGGGATGTTCAATGGGTGAATGGTCTCAAAAATATTTGGGCCTTCTTTTGGGTAGGAATTTATTGTCTTTTGACTTTTTAGAATCTTGTTATTGAAGAAGTAGGGAAAAACTTGGACGGTTGGAAGAGAGTATTTATTTCCAAAGGGGATACATTAACCTTATTTTGCTCAATTTTGTCTAGTACATCTGTTTACTTGCTCTCGTTAAAATGACAATATGGATATCTATAAAGATCGAAAAGATGAGTGATTTTCTATGGTAAGATAACAGTGAAGGAAAAAAAAAATCATTTGATCACCATTTTGGTGGTGGTTTCTTGATCTAAAGTTAAAGGTGGTATTTCGATTGGAGATTTTTTCACAAGAATGTGGCTCTAGTTGGGAAATGAATACGGAGATTTTCTTTGAACGAAAAGGGAAGCTTTGGATGTCCACGTACATTCATGTCTTAAGGATTACCTAATTTTCCACGGAGTAGTAGATTTGTTGTGCATAGTTGGAGAAATTTTGGTTTTGAGATGATGTTTGACTTGGGGAGTCATCATTTTCACGCTTTTGAGTTCCGTAAAAATTTCAATGGTAAAGACATTTTGGATTCAGTGTCACGTATTTCTATTTGTAATGACTTCAATTTTGCTAATGAAAATATCTTTGTTGATGAGAAACAAATAACTTTATTAAAGAAGTAAATGAGGAGGATGGAAAACTTGACAAGTCGTCCAACTTACACAAACAAATAAAGCAAAAAGAAACATTACATAGAGAGTGGAGAGTCTTGACAGCATACATTCTAAGTCACTATAAGGTTTCCACTGCCAAAATTCAAGAGAGATAAGCCCTCAAAATCCCTTGTAATAGAAGTTTAAAAAGATTCTGAAAAATAAATCCGATTCCATAATCATTTCACCACTTCACGTCTAGCTTTACATATCCTCGCTTTCCTTTCCAACCCAATAACCTATGCGGTAGGAAGAAATGCATGATTCCAAAGATTGATCCTTTTCTTCTTCTTCCCGAAAAAATCCAGAAGAACCATATTGGAAAAGGACCAAGGAGGAACCCACCTCAATCATGTTAAGTAATAAGTGATCAACACTTTCACTATCACATTGGCACTATCATTGGTATTTTTGTTATCATGAGCATAGTCCATGTATGAATTTGCACCTTAATAGACACTTTAGTCCTCCAAACAATCAAAGATGGGGAAAAAAGTAGACACGAAGGAACATCTATTAAGGATTCAAAGAAAGATTTACACGAGAAAGTAACCAAAGAATGAATAACCCCAATATCTTTCCTCAAATGATTGTGATTCAATTTAAAGTCATTAGGAAACTAAAAGAGTGAAATCAAATCCAAAGTATTTATGCTGTCAAGATTTCTGCAAAAGCGCAAGTCCTAATAGTGTAAAGGAGAGTAGAGCAAATCATTGATGCAATAGAAGCACCATGAGGATGAGAAATGCCATGAAAATGAGAGAACAACTATGAAAAAACCCCTCTGCTAACCACAAATCCTCTCAAAATTTTATTCTCATGCCATTTCCTGTAGCATATTTAATGTACTGAGAAAACCTAGGTTTACTCGGAGAAATAAAATTCCATGGTTAATGGTCTCAGCTCCATTTGCATCTCATCCATATAATTTATAGTTGCTTTTGATAATCAAATGTCACAGTGAATTTTTTTCCAAATGAACTCTCTTTGACTATTTCCCAACTTAGGCCACATTCTAGCCAACAAATTTCCACCGATATACCCTTTTATCTTCATATGTAGAAATTCCCTCGCAACAAATCAAATGATCTTTTGTCCCTCTCTCCTTCCTTTCCACGTAAAATCCCTCATTTACCTTTCTATCCTTCTTGCAACTTTGCTTGACATTTTAAAAAGGGTCACATTGAACCAAAGTTTACCTTCCTTCCTTGGAAATAAATGTTCTCTTTGACGATCCAATCTTTTCTCCATCTTCTCAACAATTGGATTCTAAAAGTTCAAAATCGACGGATTGCCCGCTGAAGGTAGCCCTAAATATTTTTAGAGGCCATTAACCCCTTGGACATCTGTCACGATAAGAATTTGTGAAGTTAGGATATGAAATGTCGATAATCTAATACATATCAACAAAGAAAAGCTTCTAAACATCTTCAGGGTTAGTTTGTGGGCATACTAAAATGAAGGGATATCATGAATAAAATAAACAAATAGGTCATCTCTAGTTTTGTAATTACACTTTAACGAGGACTTAAAAATGTTGAAGCCACACCTTTTACATTGGGCACTAGTTATAAATTGATAGCTAATTATGTTCCCCTGTGAAAATTTTAGTGTTTTTTTTTTTGGGTATATGTAATAACTCCACTTCAATCCAGGTCCGACTAAAGCGACATAGATGGCACAAAAAGTTACTGAAGACTAGAGATCCGATGATAGTTTCGATTGGATGGAGGCGATACCAAACTACTCCTATTTATGCTGTCGAGGACCGTAATGGACGTCATCATATGCTCAAGTATACTCCGGAGCACATGCATTGTCTTGCCATGTTTTGGGGCCCTCTTGCACCTCCGAATACTGGTGTAGTCGCTGTTCAAAATTTATCCAACAATCAGGTTAGATAACTTTTTCCTTTGTTCTACAAATTCCCTACTTGATTGATTTGGAAGGAGGGTGGTCAAAGTGAGACCCTGCTCATTTCAATAGTTTTGGAATTTTGTTGGAAAAATATGAATAATGGATCTTAATTTTTGTTTAGTTTGGGGCAAAGTATCAAGATCACTTGAAGCTTGGATTATTTCGCTGACAGGGAAATGGATCAACATGCCAAATTCATTAAAAGTGTTAATTTTATCCACTTAAATGTGCACCATACATAGCTAGACCCGGCTATTAATGGCCTGAAGTTCCCACTTGAATATAATAGATTACTGAAGTACGTCATATATCGTCTATTTAAATTTATTGTGATATTCTCTTTACACATTCAGCCTTTTCCATTAGGATACTGTTTAAATTGGAATTTAATATTTTCTATTAGCATACTTCTATGCCCTCTTGTGCTCAGCCACTTCAGTTACTCTGCGTGCTTCTATTTTATTATTTGGTTTGTTCAGTTTATTGTAAATGCAAATAGAACTTTATTTCATGTTACTCATTGTTAATTGTGTGATTTTGAATAATCACATTGCCTTCATTTAGCAGTGGCAGGTGTCCTTTTGTGTTCATTATGTTTCTACGGTTGTAGTATGACTATTGTTTAACTACGAAAACAAATGAATCACAATTTGGCAATCTTTATCACTTCATCTTCCTCTGTTGGAAAAAAGTGAAGATAGAACAGAAATGAACACAGCATGGTCTTCACTGTACTGTTGGTCAATGCCTTTCATAAGAAAGGTAGTGTTTGTAAGATTTATGCATATTTATGCCTCCAGTTTCATTGTCTTTCATTTTTTACAGTTTCCTTTCAATTGGTTTGAAACCTTCAGCTTGTTGGATTACCTTTCACTCTTTCAGTGGAAGAAGGGCCCCTTTCTGTGTGATGATGCTATCACTCGTTCAATCCGTAGAGTTGAAATGCAAACCAAAAAGCATTCTGGCTTTCTATGCTCTCACATTAGGCTTCCAACACCTATGATGTTTTCCAACCAATCTATGATGTTGTATCACCTTGTACATAAGCTGACCAGTTTCCATCTGGTTGTCCAGGCAACGTTTAGGATCACAGCAACTGCAGTGGTTCTGGAGTCCAACCATGCTGCACGCATAGTGAAGAAGATTAAGCTTGTTGGCTGCCCATGCAAGATCTTTAAGAAGACAGCACTTATCAAGGATATGTTCACTTCAGATCTTGAAATAGCCAGGTTTGAAGGAGCTGCTGTCAGAACAGTAAGCGGTATCCGTGGGCAGGTGAAGAAGGTATGTTTGTCGATTACAGTGGTATTGCCTTTCTTGCACTGTTGGGGGTATCTATTTTTTTTCAAAAATTTTGCTACCATGTACATTAGCAGACTGGTTGGTTCCTTCGGGCCAATTTTAGTATTTGGCTCCTTCAGTTTTATGTTATTACGTGAGGGTGGCCATGGCCTATAAATGATTGCTAGGACCTACAAGTAGTGTTGATGAGCGAAAAATGAGTTGTCCCTTTTAGATCTGAAAACTTGCATGGTTAATTAAAATGACATCAATCTGGTAGGCTGCAAAGGAAGATATTGGTAACCAACAAAAGAAGAAAGGAGGACAACCTAAAGAAGGAATTGCCAGGTGCACATTCGAGGATAAGATTCTGAGGAGTGACATTGTTTTCTTACGTGCATGGACTCAAGTTGAAGTTCCTTGCTTTTACAACCCCTTGACAACAGCGCTCCAACCTCGTAACCAGACATGGCAAGGAATGAAAACTGTGGCTGAATTGAGGAATGAACGCAATTTTCCAGTGACTGTTAACAAGGATTCACTCTACAAGGTAGTTTCTGATTTGTGGGCCATCTTCCGTAATAGCAGAAGTTTTCTTTTTCCTTTATTTTTTATTGTTATTATAATTTTTTTGGCCCTCTTCTGATCTCTTGTTTGTTTGCTTGACAGCCAATTGAAAGGAAGCCAAGGAAGTTCAACCCACCAGTTATCCCGAAGTCATTGCAGGCAGCCCTCCCATTTGCTTCAAAGTCCAAGGATATCCAACGTCGAAAGCGGCCACTTCTTGAAAATCAAAGGGCTGTCGTGCTGGAACCTAATGAGCACGAATTGCATACGCGTGTTCAACACCTTCAATTGATTACGCATGAAAAGGTATGTTCTTTCGGAAAATCATACTAAGCGGGCACTTTCAACCAACTGGCTTTATATAGAAATTTATATGATGGTCTAGTATCCATTTTTGGTCATGCCTTGTCAAAACAGGAGATCCGAGAGACCCTTGGGTTGATCACTGCAATTTATTGGCAACTGTTATATCACAAATAAATAGACGAATTTGGCATGCCGCATGATATAGATCTATTATCTCTCCTAAGCCCGTTCTTATGGTCTCATGAATGCTTGTTGCAATCATCCCTGTTGCAACAATGATCATCAACCATTGCCCACCACCTCTTTCAAGAGACCACCCCTCATCACCACTCTCCTTCTCCTCTTATTCTTTGTCTCTACCTCTCTCTAAAAGACATATCCTCTGCAGAAATTTTCCTCTGCTACCACCCACTTCTTTCAATTGTCCACTGCCTCGTGTAACTGTCTATCCCACTGATATAGATGATCATCTACTTCGATCTGCCTACAATACCTATCCACACCATTGCAACAGAGAACCATCTAGTACCATCCCTCACAGCCATCAACCCATTCGTGGTAGCTGAAAGAGCTCCTCTCTCTCTCTCATCGAACCACCACCTTCGATGGTAGGCGTGAATTTCCTTCGATTTCAATTTGATTCAGATTTTTGATTTTCAATTCTATTATGATTTTTGGTACTATTTTTATTTTCCTTTTCAATTTTGATTCGACTCCAATTTTGGTTCAATTCTACTTTGATTTTGGTTTGATTGATTTCCTATTGAGTTCTATTTTTAATGAAGAAACCTTTGGTTTTTGTGGACAAATCAATTTTGGTTCTCGTTTTTTATTTTCTATTCAATTTTAGATTTCTAGATTTGAGATGCTATGATAAAAAATTTGAGTGTTGGGATTGAATTAATCGAATTCACTGAGAAGCATGAATATTGATATAAGACATGGATACGATATGACACGACATGAAGATACAACATTTCTAAAAAAATTATGAGACAGATACATCAAGGACATACTACAAATAATTGTATTTTTTCAACTCAGCAAAATCTTGTGTGAACTTTTTTGAGGTTGACTATAGAATCTTGTTTCGTCATTGTACTTTATTAATTGTCATATTCTCTGTTTAACCATAACCTTATCAGATTCTTTTATATTATCATTAAAAGTTAATTTTGGTCTTCCATCTTCTTATATTCTTTTTTGCAAATAATTGTCTCAAATTATATAATCTGATTATATATAGATATAATCATAATATTATATGATTTAAGAATCATTGCTTTATGATAAGTCTTATTTCGGGTCTTTCAATGAAAACATTAGATTAATGGATCATATTTGGTTAATAATCGTCGATTTGTTTATAGAAAAAGTGTGGTAAACATGCGTAGGTATAATTATGATAGTTCTTATCTTCTCTAGTCCTGTTATTGAATAAAACTATTGTGCATCTCTTGTTTTTATTATTGAACTTTACGTAAAACTTTATTGTGATTGATAATGATTTATGGTGTAAATCAGTCATTTGGTCAAATTTTCAATGTTTATTAACTACATGTTGACACGTGCTCATTTTCTCATAGGCATGGTTTAAAAAAGTGTAGACAATCACCAAAGGAGTCTCAAACATGTTCTTGAAATTAAGATGTTGTCTTTTACATTATGGGCACAATTAAAGTTTATTGGACACAAGCCTACGAGTATTCAAGAAGTGTCTGATTCTAACACATATACGTCTCCTTTTGACGAGTATATATGCTTCTTAGTGTTGGAATTGAGGTGTGTGTAGTATTTTTATGAAAAAAGTGACGCAATTGTAGTAAGATTGGTTGTGCTTGCACAAAGAGGAGGAAGGAAGGGGAGACACATATCTGGGTCTACTGGATGAGGCATGGATCCGTTGTTGAAGTAGGAAGAGGGGTATTAAGGTCATTTTAGTTTTTTCATGAGTGGAGTTGGTAGTGTGCTTTAGGCCACAAATCAACTAAGGGTTATGCGACTGTTTTGAAAGTGGAGGAAGTGATTTACAAAAAGGCTTAACTAGAGGGGGTAAAATGAAGTTTGTCTTTTTTTCGAGAAGAGGAGGGTGGTGCTAGAAGGTGTTCATATAGTTAAGCCTATCAACGGATCATATTTTTGTGGATACCAAAACACACAAACACACACACACTATTACATTAAAATACATACACATACTATTACACCAAAATACACCCATACTATTATACAAAAATAAACACACACAAACACTAATACATCAAAGCACACACTAGTACACTAAAAAATACACACTAGTATACCAAAAAACACACATTATTATGCCAATTGTTTGTCTTAACTTTGGATTCGGGTCCTAGGCCTGGGTTAGGGTCCCACACATACATTCACTTTTTCCAGCCTTTAATACACTACATTTGAAGTTTGTCCACTCACTCAATTTAAAAAACTACGAAAGCTCATTAAACCACTTAAGTTATAACTTTGCCATATTAATTTTCTACTTTTTAAGATGTGAATGACTTACGGACTTTATATTTATTTTGGCTTCCAAAGTTGTCCTTAATATTTAGTCATTTAAGTTGTTTAAAAGTGGCACAATTCGAGGCTTCTGGTGGTAAAGAAAAATCTTTATAAATTCCTGAATGTAATAATTAGTACAAGGTATGGGAGGAAGTAGATGAAAAATAGAAATTAGTTTAGTTATAGTAGGACCATATTCAAAAACTGTCCTACTTGGCAAACTCATAAATATAACCAAAAACAAAAAAGCAAACAAAAAAATTATTCTTAGTGAGCTTCCTCTACAAGTCCTAATAGTCCTTGTCGTATCTTTTTTTATGTCATAGTCATGTCATGTCAAGTCAAACATGTTTAATCAATACTAGTGCCATTTATCGTCGAGTTCGTATATCGTTGTTATCTAGTTTTGTGTTGGCCTCTTTACAAGGTGGATTTGACAGGTCAAACTCTTTATGTTTTAAACTTGTTGTGCCTAAACTGATACTACTAACTTTGAGTCGATTCGTAAGTCATATTAAGAATTATCACTTCTAATTATTGCTTTTAATTTCCAAATGTACATAATACCCGCCCATGGGACTGATATTTATTTCAGGGAAAAAATTGGGTTGGTTGTGGAAGACATAAAACTAAGCTCAATTTCAGCAAAACAATAAGAGGTACTCAAATAATGAGAATTTAGGCAAATATTATAGCAGAAGAGATTGGAAAACAATTGAGGGACTGGATAATCATTAATTTATTCTAGGGAAAAGAATCCAAAGGTAAGACAAAGATAGTAAAAGAGTATGAAAAAAGAAGAAGAAATCCGAGGTTGGGGCCGGGTCTAGGTCTGGGTCTAGTGTCGTGTTCGGATCCGGCGTGTGTTTGTGTTTTGGTGTATTAGTATGTGTATATGATTTGGTGTATTAGTGTGTGTGATTTAGTGTATTAATGTGTGTGTATATTTTGGTGTACTAGTGTGTGAGTGTGTGTGCTTTTTTTTTTTGTGTATTAGTAGATATGTGTGTATTTTTTGGTGTATTAGTGTGTGTTTTGGTTTACTAGTGTGTGTTTTTTGGTGTATTAGTGTATGCGTATGTCTATTTTTTGGTATATTGGTGCATGTATTTGATTTTATTACTTTTGTTATTTAATAGAAAGATAAATACACAACCCAATTGGTACTTATTTATTAGCCATCTTAACCCGCTTAATTGAAATGAGTACTATTACCTAGCCCATTTAGAACCTGCGATAAGTAATATAGGTATCCAACTCATTTATTTATGGACGGATTAGGCGAGTTAATGGGTAATGAGTGAAGTCGTTAAGATTGACACCACTATTGGAGAGTGAAATGAGAAGAAGGATGAAGATAAGAAAAAAAAGAAGGAAAGAAAGGGGGAGAAAAGGGCAGAGAGAGAATCTGAAATTGGCAGAGTGGTTTGATGCTTCAGGTCTTCTGACAGCTCACTTTTGAGCTTTGCACATGATTCAAATATATGTTATATTTCTATATAACAACTCCAATTGGATTTGTCTAAACTGATTCAGAACGGATTTAGTCCGAAATACGACCCATTGACAGGCCTACATATATTTATTTAGCCACCATCACCGCCTCCACTGCCTTTTCTAAACCTTGAGCCAAGCGTTGTTTGTTTGCCAGATACGAGTTGAAGTCACCAAATCCACCCTCAATCCTGCTCTTGATTTGTCTTTTGGGGTTGGGTAAAACTATGAAATGAATAAATAGGCTAGTAAGTTAACATTGAATCCAGTTCCAAAAAAAAATAAAATTTCATTGTACTCTAACATTGAATTTGATCGTTCCTTCATGTCCTCTTTTCGTAATTGATCTTGGTAACAGCATTTAAGTTTTGGAGATAGTCCATTTATTTGACTTGTGCATTGTTTGGCAGCTGGGAATGATTTTTCTTGTATGTCTAGCAAATCCATTGTATAATGCTTCTACTTGTCTTCTGAGATTTTCAACAAGTTTGAATCTAATCCTTCGCCATCTGCAATCAGAAATTGCAAATCATTCCGAGTTTAACTAGGTTTCTGTGTTTCACCCAACTTTTGCAGATGAAGAAGCGAAAGCTTAAGGAAGAGGAGAAGAGGAAATCACATGAAGCAGAGAAGGCCAGGGAAGAGCAGCTTTCCAAAAAACGTCGTAGAGAAGAACAGCGGGAGAGGTTCCGTGAGCAAGATAACTTAAAAAGGAAAAGCCGGGGAGGGTCTGGGGCCTAATGCCTTTCTAATTACAGTCATTTATTAAATTCTTTGTGCATTGTCTGCGCAATATTAGGCCAGTTTTGTCAATTCTAATGCAAAATTTATGACTCTCAGTAAACTAATCCTCGGGTTCGCAGTGAACTTTGGTGGCGATTTGAACCTTGGCGAGCTTGTACATCATTCGTATCTAACAGGTGGTGGTTTTGCATTAATCGGCTACAGAAAGCCTGAATGGCATTGAAATATGTGTATATATTTGGTGAATTCTCCCTTTTATTTCAATTTTGAAACAACTAAGTATCACCACTTTATTAAGACTGTCAAAAAGAAAGATCAAAGAAAAGAAAAGACTACACTAATCCTAGATGGGTAGTGTACACAATTACATTGCTAAGTCATACATTTCTTTCAACATTAACCTTGCTTATTGAGAGTGTCTTAAAAACATGGAACTTTATAAGACGCATTTCTTTCAAACATAAATGAACAAACAACTCAAACTTACAAAGTTTAGCCAAAAGAGGGATAGATATATGCATCTCCATTAACACTTGACCAAAAGAGGGATAGTCAATGTATGTATCTCCATTCCATTTACAGTTTACCTTTTAGAGTCTAATCTTTCCACCATTGACTCATGCAATACCCTATCATGGTATATTTATATCTCTTCGACTGCTAGACACTTCATTAATCAGTTAGACATAGCAATGGCCCTTCCTTAGTGAACCTGAATCAGAAACAGAAACAGGGGACTGTCAAAAAAAAGATAAGCAGCCTGCAGGGGGTTCTACATCACGACGGTCCCGCGAATTCTTAGAAAAGGCATCATTCATCAACATCTGTGTCATGGGGTTGATTATATCTGTCTTGCACTTCAAAAGCACGTCGACCTATAGACTCATAATCGTCCTCATGATCTTCAGGTACGAGCATGAGTAGTGTCACCTCCCTCAACACCACCACCCTCGTATCATGACCTACCTCACTTGGCAATTGTACTTGAATTGCCTGCTCATACCATGATTTAACGTAAAAATCAAAATCGCCTTCAAAGCCCCTTATCGCAACAATCTCCTCTTCCCCAACAACTATTCTACCCACATCTCGGGTATCTCCAATCTCAACTTGTCTGAGCTTTGGATAAACAGCAAGTGCATTTCGCAAAACTGCAAGCCGAAAGAAAACGTCCACCAAGAAAAAACCAGCAACATACATCTTGGAATCAACTACAACAAATTCTTCCTCCCCTTCCTCCTCCTCCTCATCAACTTCTCCAGGCTCCGCATCATCAGCCGCATTCGCAAAGCAAAATAAAACCAAAAAAGGTCTTCCGTCTTTGAACACCGCATTCCAACTGATAACATGGTACATACCGAATCTGGGTTTAGCGGTTTCTACTTCAATGAACAAAGAATGTATCCAGCTTAATTTCCTGAGGAAGGTAAGCATCGGAATGAGTTGTGAGTGCTCCATGCAGTTTGCTAACCCTTTGGTAAGGTAACGGTAGGTGACATCACAGAAGGAATTTTTTGGCCTTTGAGAGAGAGGGAGATTAGGGTGGATTGGAGATGGATTCCATTTGGGAACATGAAGGAAAACAGGACTTCGGAGAATGACAGAGTAGAATCTCTTAGAGATTAAAGAGAGTTGACAGAGAGATTTTGCAGAGGGTTTGGAACCCAAGAGTTTTTCCAGAATGCATAAAATGAGGTCGGTTGGTAGACAACTTATTTCATCTTCTCCGACGAACTCACCTTCATTGATCACCATCGCCATTTGCTCTCTCTCTCCTCACTCTTTGCTTCGCACTCTCACTCTTTGCTTCTCACTCCCAGTCTCTCTCTCCTCTCTTTGAACGCGAAAGTAGGTACTCTCTCTGTTTGTGAAATGACTATCATGACCTCCTGCTCCTTATTGCCCAAGTTTTGTGTTTCATACACGACTAATCCTGCGTGGACTAAAATTTGGGAATAAATTTAGAGCTAAATGATATAGTAATTGATTATTTTAAATTTTTATTGGGATCCAAATAACATGATATCAATCAAAGAAACTCAAATCAACTACCATGTCATTTGAACTGCAACACGTGTATCGGCTGGCAAGTCGCAAATGACCATCTTGCATGAAACCGTACTTTGTTACCCAGGTTGGTATGGGGTAAGGCTGTATTTATGAGTTGATTTTAATTCATATAAATTTGTAATTTGTAATTAAATTAATTAAAATTCAAGAAAAATAATAAAAAAACAAGAGAAAAGCATTTTCAAACCTCTTCTTGTCCCTAATTCGTTTATTATACCTTGTAATACTGGTAATAACTCGTATTGGTGCAACATAAGATCGGAGAGTCCAAAAAATTGATCTTGCTATATCAAATAATAATTTTTTTAATTACACAATTTAACATTAATTTATACCCATTATTTTTAAAAATAAAAATTGATAATTTTTTGTCAAAAGACATGACTTTAAAAAAATATCAACACGTGTATGCTTACATATGAACAATGTTCGAAATAAAATTATATTGAATTACAGATTAATAAAAAATTAAATGATTCAATTTGTGATAAAAATGAGTAATTTGATAAAAATGAACATAGAAAATATGTTGACATAAAATTCAAATGACACATAAATCTCGTTAAGTTAAAATTAATTCAATCCATACTGATACATCTCAAATTTATATGTCTATTTATCAAATTTATATGTCTATTTTTATCAAGCGAGTTTGCAAGAGCAAACTTGTTATAATGCAAAATTGTTAAAAGTTATAATTCAAGTCGTTACTGGAACGAACTCCTGAATTTGAATTTTGACAATCTTTTAAGATCGAGTTATAAATAATTTATCTATCACAAATACCCTAGTCTTAACGTTAATAACTTACCTTTGACTAGACTAGATAAAAGATTAATTGAGATACGCCCAAACTGACCCAAACACCCCTAAACGTTGAACAAAAAAAAACTGTTAAAAGTTTAGATTCATCCCCATTTCATGATAATTCTGTATCGGGCTGACAAATAGTGTTAAACAAGATACTGCATACCCAATTTATGCTCGTCAAATATCTCCCCCCTCCCTTCTCTCAATTAACCGGAAAGCCAAGAAGCAAAACCTTTATTTATTTTTTCCTCAGATCTATTGCTCTATAATTATTATACACGATCAGCAACTAGTGAAGTTGCATCTCAAAAGAATACCAAAAGAACTACAAAAGAATATAACAGCTCTGTTCAATCCTGCTCCAGCTGCAATCGATGCTTGTTTCGAATTGGACCGGAGCCAATGATAAGCCCTTCTATCTATAGCACTCTCAAGCTCATGTAAGAGGAGGACAGGAAGTAAAGGATTAGACTGTTTCACCCTTCTTTTTGTTGTCCAAATTTTTGTGAATTCAATCACTATAATCTCCAGAGCCTGCAGAATCCGTGCCTTCATCGTCATTCCCATCACCTGCTTGATTAGAGACATAATCCATATCTATATCTTGAGCCAAATTTCCATCCTCCTCTTCATAATCATTTTCTTCCTCGGAACCATCTGTATGCTCATCACTTGTCTCCATTAAATCCCTTGTACTTCTATTGGAAGCTACATCTAAACCTGGTCCCCAGTTCACAAACTTATAGTTGATTGCATTGTTATTGTCGCTGGAATCACTTTCTTCAGTACTATTACCATCATCCTCGATTTGAACCTGTTCAATTTCTTCACCAATCCATTCTTGCCCACCAGAGTTTCTTGGTGATTCCTCAGCACTATTAGGGCTTCTCTTATCATCAACCAAATGACCCCCCTGTGTCTCCTCAATGACCTTCTCTGTTCTCCTCCTCCTCACAGTCCGGCGACCCCTTCCATGCCTCTGTCCACCTGTTCTTTGCACCTGCTGCATTAGAACTTGACTTAGTGTCTTGTTGTCCCTAACACTTTGCCTGCCAGATTCCAATGTGGAACCAGCAACTCTTTTCTTCCATCGCCCACGAGTGCGACCACCTCCTCGCCCACGAACCACTTGTCTACATCTAGAGCTGCCAGGTATGCTACCCAGGCCATTCCACTTCTCTTCTTCTATGTGTTCACCGTGGTCCAAATCTGTTGGTTCAACCTTTCGGACATTCTTCAAATACATGTGTGTTGAAGGAAGCTTCTGTAGATAAGATGAACAAACAAGAGAAATGTTACTTTCAAGTAAAAATGGAGAAAGATTTAAGAAGATATTGGTTCATCAGTGAAATTATTGTCCTCATATTGCAGAACATTTTTAGTCTGCCCAAGTATGATTGATGACAAGCAGGCACTGCCACAATGCATGACAAGAAAACACCATGCTTTAGACTACCACTAAAACGTATTTGAGGGTGACGTATGCACATATTTAGCAAACAATTAATCCTCCCCCTTCTATGCAACTCAACTCAACCAAGCCTTGTCCCAATATTTTTGGGATCAGCTACATGAATCTTCTTTCAGAATTGTGCTCTATGATGAGTAATGCTTTCTATTAAACCGTGTGTTATCACGTCTTTCTTTACTATTTCACTTAAAGTTAATTTTGGCCTACCTCTACCCCTACACTTACCTTCCATAGCTATTATATCAGACTTTCTCACTGGCATCGTAACAATGTAATAAGTCGTCTATAGATATGTTCAAACCACCTAAGTCGATTCCCCCTTCAAATTTATCCCTTATAAGAGCTACCTCTACTTTTTCACGGATAATTTCATTCTTAATTCTATCTTTACTAATTTTACCACACATTCATCTTAATATTCTCATTTCCACCACGTAACTGAGAGAAACAGAGAAACAGAGCAGGGGAATCCTTATGGAGAGGGAAGGGAAAGTAAGGAAGAACACCTCAACTGTAATATCTTCGACTTTATTTTTATTTTGAGGCTCATCTTTCTGATCTAGGATATCGGACAAGGAGGCATCAAGCTCCAAAAGCCTCAGAGCCACAGCAGCAGTGGTTTGTGGTATCCATGGAAGATGAGGAACGGAACCAGGAGGAGCAGAGTCACACATAGATCTTCCTGATAAAGCACAGGATCCCAACAATTCCTCTGTTGTTTCGAAGTTTGATGATAAACAATCACGTTTTATGACACCCTCAAACTGAGTCAAAATCTGCAGTAAGATTTGTTTAATTAGTCAAGTCTGGTGAAAATAATCACATTAACTAAAAATTGGAATAAGTTCTCTCTTCCTTGTGGGCAGTGATACAAAATATAGTCACATGGACCATACTACCAGAGATATTATGATAGTATTGTTCCCAACATACCAGTTCCCTGCCTATCCGAGCAGTTACCAACACATAGCATATAGAGATCAGTATAATAACTGGCACATAGCAGGATGCATTATATATGTCAACTGGTCATGTCTAAGGAATGATACGCCTACAAAAACTATGTCCTAAAGTCTCTACCAATATAACGACGAAGTAGCATTATATAACAAAAATAATGATGCTACATTGTTCTGTCAATATTTGACCAGCTTGTTTGACGTATTAAATACTTTAAAAAAAGGCTTTTAAGTTTAGCAAATAGCAATATTACTTAACTTATTTCACCAATAAATAGACCAAGAAATAACTCAAAAATATAAGTTAATTACGTTTGTTGAAACATGCATGAATCTCCTGCAACAGTACAACAGAATGCTTAGATAATTGGGAAAATAGTAGAATACATATATTGAGATATTGCACCATTGTACCAAACAACAATGCTGACCACCTCCTAAAATTATAATTCGCTATCCAATCTGCTATGACCATTATTATCAAGATTAAAAACACTGGTGCCTTTTCATGATTATCAAATCACATGTTTTCAGTAAATCTATTCAGTCACATTCGAGTATTTGGTGGAAGCTTGAATCTTACATAGCTCCAAGTTTGGCTACCCATCCTCATGTAAAGGACATAAACTTACATTAGCCAATTGGCAAGATGAAGAACGCAAGCATTACTAGTTCAACCGTAAACCATTTGGCAACTAAACATGAAACGTTAGAATACAAGATTCTAACATCCTTCCTCAAGCAAATATTTTGAGCCTTCTAGAATGATTTATAATGCAATAAAGCAAGCTCACGCAATGAGAAAGTGAAGTTCCCCATGTTCTACAGAAACTCAATACCTCATATCGTGGTATAATACGCATAGCATTCAAAATCATCCACAGGAATCACAAACAGAGGAAACACAAATTTTACAATTCAATGTATTCAAGATAAAGCCGAACCCACAACCTGACAGTAGCTAATCTGACACTTCTATGACGCTTTGAGTAATTTGCCGGGCAATGGCCCTTAATTTACCTAAGGTAGCAAAGATGACACAAAAAAGGAAATATGTGAAACCTGCAGAAGATCCTCAGTGGACCATGAACTGTGCAGCTTTAAGCCCCAAGTCCTCCTAAAGTTTTCTGTCCAGGAAGATTCAAAAGCCTCGGATGGAACAGAAACCTGCCAAGTAGCAAATGTAACAATCTAGACCAAGTTGAACGTAGACAACCAACATATAGGATCTAACAGAATAAGCAAATTACCAAAACAAAAAACTAGTTACAATAGAACTATTCTTTAAAGTTGCGATGCTCTCACCTCTAGAAAAGTAAACAGGGCCTTGAGCAACCGGATTCTCAAGGGACGGGAAGAATCTGAAACTATTAAATTCTTGATATCAACTTTTTTCTCCTCCCAACCGCTCATTCGTTCTGGAATACTTTTGTTATCATTAAAGGTTTCACATGACCGACGGCACGAAGGGCATAGCTCCTCTTCAAAAATACGTGTATCAAGACAGAAATCACAAATTCTCAATAGCGGCATGCATCTTTTCTTCCCATATGTCATGGCCCATAAGGTTGACAAATTAAAGCATTCTTCGCACATCCACATCTGCAAATCTTGATATCTTATCAAAGCATTCTTTTGCTCAGTCTCATTCCTCCCAAGCTCGATTTTGAAAGAAGATGAAGGTTCACATGTGTCCGAATTCGAACCACACACTGCACTGCGAGGACTGTCAGCATCAGTAGTGCTAGTAGGACTAGAATCCTTTTCAGCAGCTTCATTTCCAACACTATTTCCACCTTTGCCCACAACTTTAGCACACTGCCAGTTCCTCTGAACATTTTCCTTAAAGGACGTCTCAATTTTTTGCAACATAAAGTGCAAATGAGATTCCCTAATTCCACGTGTATCCAAAGACATCAAGAGAGTATCAAATGCCTACATGTAGAGTAAATTGAATGAATACCAGTATCAGGTACGTGACAAAGTATCACAAACATAATTGCTGAAAAATGTGATTGAGAAAAATGTGAGTGGCAATGTTTGAGGGGATATCAATAACCAATTGTCAGTGACCAGTTTTGGTCATAGAACAATTTGAGAAGGTTTTCCCCACCCAAAAAAAAAAAGAACAATTTGCGAAGGTAGATATCAAAGGAAACCAATCAATCCAAGGCAACTATGAATACTTTCCTCATTGTCATGAAATTTTTTTCCATTTCCCATTTTTTATGAAACTACTTTACCATTTCTCGTTTTCATCCTTTGTTTCATGTTCCCAATTAGAGGCATTTTCCCCAAGAATATAAAAAGACCCTCAAGGGACAACAGGTAATTCCGAAATGCAACATATATATTATTATAATTTCACCTTCAAAACTACACTGACCATTCTTTATAGAATATACAATCCAACAACACTGAACAGGGCACAGTGGCAATGTTTTTGTATGAAGGAATTTTGAAAGTCCCATGGATAATCCAGTCCCTTCTTTTTTCGTTGAATTCTTAGTTTTAGGATAAATCAGTTTTCACATAATGTCATAGAGAGATTTTATGGGACAGACTGGGGAAATACATTGTTTAAATCAGTCATGCTTATAAATTTTTTAACTTGCTTATTGTCAGATCCCATGGGATGGGATGACAAATACCACTGCTCCTGTGGCATTACAGTCCCACGTGTCTGGTACTCTAGAGTCCCATATAATGTTTCCAGCCCTGGGGACAAAACAGGACTTAACATGGGATAACGATGTATATCCCACCGCATGGTATTTCTTGACATACAGTCTTCTGAAACAATCGCACCCCATGGTGCTTTAGTATATGTTCAAGGTTTATTCCATGCATCTGAAAATAGGCAGCCATTCTGCCCGTCCTTTCCTTCTTCTTCCCTTCCTAATTAACTAAAATATACCACTTGCTCCAGAAGTTTTATGGAGTGACTTGGCGCATAGAACACAAAAAAAAAAAAAAACAGAAACACCAAAAGTTTCTACCTCTTCAGAATCAATAAGCCTCCAGTAGCCATCAGGTGATTCAACAAAGATCCTGCCAGAACCAGGATCATGTCTCGAAGCAGATGCAACAAATTGCCAATAACGATTACATCTTCGATCTTGACCCAGAGGTAAGGACCTGTATACAAATGTCTCTTCAGCTCTCTGACCAATGAAAGACTTTAACTGCAAGCGTGACCTTTCCGCTGTGTATCCATTTTGCTGAATTGAGGAAGTAATCTGACCATTGGAGGTATCATCTACTACCAAGCCCTTTTCAGCAGGTAAACCGTTGTGGTGATTCTGAAAATTATCTGCCCCAGTTAAAGGCTCTTCCTTCGCTGCAGTGCTAATAGATGCCTCGTAACTTTTATTATCAACAACAGTTAATGGGCTTTGGCTGCACTCTGCTGCAGCCGTAAACGAAGAATCATGGAACTTTGTTACACTATCATCTTTTATACGCCTTTTATCTAGATGTGCTTCTGCCCACATTTGCTTTTTTAATGCATTGGCTGCATCCAAACGATCCTGCAGACTCTCAATGTCAGACAACAGAAGGGACCCATTGACTCTTTTATCTACAAATTGTGCACATAAGATCACAAAATTCATAGAGAAGGTCACCTCAAGAACAGCACGGATCGAGTTTCCTTCATTTGCGACACCAATTAAGGTAACAAGGGCACTGAGACGCTCGTCAACACACAGATCAGAATATTCTCCTTCAGTAAGTCCTTGAACCCATGGTTCACCTGATCTGCTTTCATCAATCTCTGTACTTTCTGGGCCAGGATAACTTTCAGCAATGCCTTTATGAGAAAAAACAATTATCTGATTAATCACTAGGAGCAACTGGCATAGTTCATCCTCAAAACCTTAAATTAAGGAATAATTATATAGCAACAAGCAAGGAGGAAAAAGAAAAAGTTTACCTGCACTATCAAATTCATTTTTCAGATTTAGAGCAACATCCTCAGAGATATTATTTTTTCCATCCCCTGAACAAGTGCTAACTTCATTGCAATTAGCACCATTTTTGTTTGCATTCAATGGAGTACCCATATCATCCACTTCAGCACCCTCAGCAACATCACATTCAGAGTCGTCATCTCTTTCAACATCATCAGGATTTTCCACAGTTGCAAACCCATTGACATACCTCTGAATCTTCTCTCGGGCTGCTGAAAGTATTACCTCAGCATTGACAGGATCCTTTCTAAAAGCAGGACGTACGGAATACGTTGAAGGAGCTATTCTTTCAAAAAGTATTGGATCCCTTGACAAAGCAACAGAAATAGAGGCCTCTGGAGTCTTGCTTGTTGTTAGGTCACGAAGTCCAGATTTCTTCAGCAAAAAAGAAATAATCATATTAATCAGGAAAAAGTTGAACGTTCAATGAGCCATTCAACAATAATTTATTATTACCTGAATCTTGTCTGCAAGTTCTATAACCGTTAGGCCTTTGATTCCTTCAAGAGAAAGAACATGATAAGCAGCAAATTTGACTGTTCCAGGTGTCAACCGATGCCTGGATCTGCGCTGAAGGGAAAATCCTTTTCCTTGCATGATCATAACTGCATTTTCAGCAGCTGAACCATTACGTATATTGGAAACTATATCTTCACAACCTTTATCCTGCATGAACAGCCCAATTAGAAGACTGATTGAAAAGCCAAATAAAATGGTTGAGCAAGTATTCATCTAACAGGCCTCTACTGAGGAGGACCTTCAAATAATATATCATTTTCTAGAAAAATATGAATAGACATTAACCATCAATCACTGTTTCCATCATTAAAAATTTAAAACAGCATTTTTAGCATTACTGCAGATTATTATTGCCCTTCGATATTCACAAATGTGTTCTACACATGTGATAATGACATGCCCTATAATGTTCATGTGTGCATAAGTTATCCAATAATCTAAAGTATTAAGAGTCTAAGACATTACATGGTAATATTATGAATTATAGTGAACTCAAATGGAACTAATCTTAGCCAAGTAACAAAAGGCGATATATGCAAGGAGGAAACAGCAGAAGAGGCACCTCATCATTATCATGCAAGCATGCCCTTTCTGTACTCTTTTTCTTCAGTTGCGGTCCAAATCCCGCTGATAGTGCAAACTGCCGTAATATTTCAGGCCATGTCAGTGGATTCAAGTGGTTCTGCCAGCTACGGATGTCAAAACCCCATAAATATGCCTGTTACAGAAAGTCAACAACAAAATATGATTCTGACAATGAGATCCATAATACAACATTGCAAGTATTTCGTATTCACAGCAGATATTACCCCTTCAACAATGTCAGGATGTCCACCTTCTGGATTGGAAGCAGTATATTGATTTGTTCCAAATCCACTGGAAGGGGTCCTTGCAACATCTTCAATGTCTTTTATAATCAATTTCAGAAGAGCAATGTGTATTTCACCCAACAATCTCGTTTCCTGAAGGAGAAAAGTAGCTGTGTGTACACTGAGTACAAAAAAGAGCCGAGAGCAGATGCAGAGAATAATAAAATTTACAAGTCATTGAAAGCAAAGATCTCACAAGCAACTTACATAGTCATGAAGAGCTTGAACAAATTCATCTAAAGTAAATGGCCAAAGACCAAGAACATCAGCAAAAGTTATACAGAACCTCCAAACCTGAAACGGCAAACACAATGTCAAACATTCGAAGACTAAGAAAAGGGAATGCATTAATTACTCAAAAATTAACTAATCTCATTGTGTCTCAATGAGACAGCACAAACAAGAGAGTGGTGCACGCAGAACATAAATAATATGATGAAAGAATCACAATTACAGAGATAAAAATTGAAGAGTAGACACAAAGGAAATTTGTTTTGACAAAAATCATGAGCAGATGAAATAACCACAGGTTAAGTGGTTAATGTTCGGCTCATAAACCTTAAGGCATAGTTGGTTTAACCTCACGGCAACCACTTTGCACATAATGCCAAAGGTTAGGTATGTTCCCAATTGTCCCCTCCCAGACCTCCATTACTAGGTACTCAACTGTGGTTATTTTACGATTAAATGAAAAGAGATACACGAGATTTAATGAAAAAATCTACTCTTGCACTCTAAAGCTGTGCAATAAGTATCGCCTTTGAATAAAACTATTACCTTCTGCCAGAAATATGCATTCCTAAATAGTGTATGCTAGAAGAATGCAAAAGAAGAAAGAAAAAGACGAAGAATATCACCAATAGAGATCCATTTAACTGAACTAGTAGGTGTATTATAAAGGTCAAGATCCAGCTTCCCAGCAACACAGTAGAAAGTATACATTCAATGAACCTAGAAAACACCTTTGTCTCCATACTCCGTACAAAGAAAATGAGAATTATAGCTAGTGCACCAGAAAAAATCATTGAGATCTTTTTGTAAAAGTTTTTAAAAATGCCAAATACATGATATTCCCTCTGCTAATGCTTTACAAGATACAATACCTCTTTGGACGGCTTGGGAGAGCGGAGAGTATCAGAAAAGAGAGGAAAGTTTGCAAGGACATACCATGAGAAGGTTCCCAATGTTGTCCTCTGAATCAATCCATGGTTGAATTGCAAATGGATTTTTCATTTGCACAGACTCAGGAGGGAATGCAGACAAGGAATCTGAAGCACAAAAAGTGGTGTTTCAGCTGCTAGTCAAATTTTGATCCATTAAAGCAGATGCATGCACAAGTAAAAAAGACAAACAAAAGAACAGAGTAGACACTTTAATTGATAAGGTAGCACAACATATCACTTCACTGTGTACGGATAATACAAAATGTATTAAGACTCTGCAAAATAAAGGTCATTAAGCAAAACAACAGGTACCAATTACCAATTTTCTGGACCTCGTGCAGTGTAAGGATAGTATCTGGTCTTGGTTTCATATGCGGAAAAACAAATACAATTTGAGGGGCTGTGTTTGGATGATTGCAAGATAACGAACAGACATTTTGAAATTAAGTTAGTGCATGTAAAGAACCCCGATTGCTCACCTGATAAGGAAGATAGAGGATAAGTCATTCAAGCACAAGAAAAACCTCATTCTTAGCTCGAAACATTACATTACTGCTAACAAGGTCTTTTTTGTCAAGAATTGCTAGTAGAGAACAGGCAAATTTGCCAAAGGTTTACTGAATGATTGGAAAAATCAAGTAACTACCAAGCACAGAGTGACATTGAAAGTATGGGAATATGTCAAAAGAAAGCCCACCTCTGAATGCTTCAAGGTTTTGCAAAGTGTCATAGTCGAGTGAAATAATTGAGGGTAACCCTTTCTTTGTAGCAGCCAATTCCATGAGTTCCAAACGCTCATCCTCAATTACCTCCATAGATTCTTTAGCAATTCTGCGTGCTGTTGCTCTCTCAACAGCAGCTTTGATTCTCACTGCTTCCTTCTCTTTGCGAAGCTCTTCTTTCTGTCTGCTTCTCTCAGCCTATAAACACAAAAGAAAAAAGATAAAGTAGGATCTACCTCTTAGTGCCTTAGAATAAGCTGAAAAACTAAATATCAGGTTCTCAAACTTGCCTTCAAAAGCTCCTTCTGCAAAAACTTTTCCCTCCGTTCTATTTCACGTCTTTCCTCCCGCTGACATCTCTCCTCCATCCGCCGCTTTTCTCGGATCATCCTCTGCTCTTCTTTCTGCCTTTCACGGTCTTGTTTCTCGATTTCTTTCCTCATTTGCTCCTCTCTCTTTTAGGAAGATGATAAAAAATCAGCTCTCAATGATAATAGTTTTTTTTTTTTTTGTTTACAACATATTTTTGAGTATGCAAATGTAAAACCACAAAGATCAAACCTTTCGCCTCAAAAGATCTTGTTTCTCTAGCTCTTTCTGGATCCTTTTCTCAGGAGCTTGAACTTCTTTTCCAATTCTACCATCATCACTCTGCAAGAGGCGATCAAACATGAATTTGCAAGCTCTTTCTTTTGGAAGGTGAATTTACAAACTCTTGGTAAGGAGGAAATAGCATAAAATAAAATGGTCACTTCAGGATACCTTGCGCTTCCTTTCCATCCGAAAAACATCTTCATTATGTGGAAGAGAGTCATTATTCATTGGAGAAGATGAAAATAATCCCTGCTTGCTTTGTTGAGACAATGGACTCACACTTAATACCTGATCTTGGACACCATATCCCCTTGACACTTCCCCATTTCCTTGCAAATATGGTAAAGTTTTGGAACTAGGGCCATCAATAGCCGAATCATTTAAGTAAGATGGGGCAGCTCGTCCATAGGCATCAGATCTTATACTGGGCTCAGCAGGTTCACGGAGACCACTCATTGCAGCCTGGAAAATTAAATGCACTTTAGCTTCAAGCATATAGCCACGTGATCCAGGCAATTACTCTTAAAGTATTGTTTTGCAAGAACCATTAAGTTTAAAACATGGAAATAAGCACGGAAAAAGAAGAAGAAGAAAAGAGCACTACTTCGGAACTCGAATTCTTGCAGTGCAAAGATAGGATTTCTGAGATAAAGATCACCACTCATGGAATTAGTGGGGTTGGAAGGGAGAGAAATCATATAGTTAAGACTTAAAGACACATAAATGGATGGTTGAGAAAAGCTTCTATAATAATCTCCATATTTCCCATGATATTAGGCAAAAACATTATATCATTCTATGGCCATTGATGGTCTTTCAGACTCCATGAGGAAAAAGGAAAAAAGAAAAACTGCATAAACTCAACTCTCGAAGTTCCACTTTCAGGGCGAAAGGAAAACCATCGAAGTACCAAATAAGTTTTCAGACGATAATTGACCGTAACAATACTTATGAATCAGGATAGCAAATAAAAAATTGAACAGATCCAAACTATTGTTGTTTGCAGTTCCAATTGTTGAGTTGACCAACTAAGAAGTCAAAATTTGAAGGTATAGAATGAAGCAGGGAAGGGAATAGATGATTTAGAGAAATCAGTTAAATTGAGAAACCTAATGCTTGGCGGTTCAGTAAGCCATTCAGAATGAAAATCCCAAAGACATCTCGGTAGCACCAGAACTCTAAATACACCAAAGATATTGCAGGACTTCTTGATAGAAACTTCAAATTGGTTCTTGGAACAGAAGTACTATGAAGTAATGCGACAAATGATTATGTAAAAGGTTCAACATGTTTAAGTCTGAAAGCAAGTGATATGTAAAAGAAGCCAAACGAGGGAAAAAACACAGAGACATAAAACGATGACATAAATTAAGGGCATCAGAGTTTCTCAACATTCACAGGAATACAGTCTAAATACTGTAGATCCTGTCATACCTAATAAAAGAGTCAAGTAGGAAGCCAAACATAAATTTTTCTCCTAAGCAAATAGACTGTCCAAAAAAGGTTGCTCTACTGTACAGTATAAGCTTCTTAACCCATTCATTTCTGGACAGAAACATATTAATAATTGTTGAGCTTATTTTTTCAATTTTGTCTCAGCGTTGCTGATATGTTTTCAGAATATAAGCTGATATAAATAGACCATTGTCACTTGCAATGACTTCTGGGACCAAAATAAATGCCAAAATCTAACCTTCCAAACTGTTTGCCTTTATACCAAGTTTTCAAACTACCCGGCTTCACTTCCAAAAATGATTCACTAGTGGATTACCAGACTAACTCAACTTCACAGAGCCTTGTACGAACTATTTGGGATTGGAAATATGAATCATGTTTTGCGATTGTACTCTACCAAGGGTCATACTTTTTTGGTTAAACTGCAAGCAGCTACCATATCTTTTTTTTAACTATATCACTCAAAGATAATTTGAGTATAACTCTCCTCCTTGCATTGCCATCAATAGGTATCACCTCATTTTTTTTCTTTGTAATGTAATTTTAACACTCTCATATTCATTAAACTTAATTTTGAGCATGTTATTTCTTAACTACCCTACATATACCATGGAAAATTATTGATCTAAGGACTGTCCTCATAACTAACCTTTAAGCTTGACACATATATATCAATTATATAAATATACCAGATGCACTTTTCCACTTAGTCTATCCTGCTTCAATTCTATGAGTAACATTGCCTCCACAAAATCCTATTAACTTAGTTAAAAATGAAAAATGAGAGCATAATTTTTTTCCCCACACTAAATAAATAGTGCGGGGTTGTAAGAGAGCCAATTTGACATTCTCAATTCCTCTTGATTGACAATTCAGAAAAATAAGCCCGCAAAAAATACATACAATTGAAATATATCTTCGCAAGGCAAGGAGAAGAAAGAAAGCCATCAATAATCGAGAATCTGAAACCCATGTTTCACCTTGTGAAAGGACTAAAAAAATTTCATCACTTATTGTAGCACACTTTTCTTTGAATCTTTGATTAATGATCCCTTAAGTACTTTGTTCCTCCATCTTTGATGATTTAAATTCAGGTACAAGTTTGTACATGTACGATTGCACATGATAAAATTAATACCAATAATATACTTCAAAGAAGAAGACCTCATGCTTATTTTTCCCAGCATGGATATGTCATGTGCCCAATGCTAGTACATACATTGATCATTTATTTTTACATTGTTTAATAGCACAGTCATTATAAGACAGATGCGAGGCGTGAATAGGTTATGGGATCAAATTTATTTCCTTGCATCTATTCGGGGGCATCAGTCACCAAAGAATTTTAAGGAGTTCCTCTCTTTTGTATTGTGTGATCAGTAGTTAGAATTGTATGTAACACAGACTCACGGTGTATTTTCTGATTTGTGTCTTCTCTTTGGGTTGGAATTATGTATTGTGGTTTTGTTATCAAAACACAGACTGTTTCTAATCAAAAAAATTGTAGCACACCAGGATGAATTTAAAAAAAAATGAAATGGTTTAAGAGAACCAACTTTGAGTGTTCTAGATTAAAAACAAAAAAAAAAGTGACAATTATTCAATATATGAAAAAACAAATGAGAGAACCGACTTTGATTGGCTTGGCATCATATTGCTGGAATAATTTGCCGTCATAAGAATGCCCAGACTGGCGCTGATGCTCTGCCATCACTGCTCAACAAGCAATGCAAAAAAGTTAGCAACACACTTGAACACAATGAAAATGAAAATAAATCAATTTATTAACAATTAGACTGAACTAATATGTAAGGTCGCGAACTTTGTTTTAATTGCAAATCCCAATTACAAATATGTAAAAGCCTATAACTTCCTTGATAATTACCACCAAATACAGTGCATTTACTAGAGACATCATTAATCAATAACAGAAAATATTATATATACCTATAGGAGCCCCAAACGCACCAGGTGGTGGTTCATCAAACTCCATCCCAAGAATTGGCCCATCTTTTCTTATTGGCTCCCCCAATTGCTCTTCCACACAAGCAATCACCCTACGGATTCCGTAATGTGGCAACTCATGGTACCTCTTTGTCACCACTGGTAAATCATCCCCGTAATAAAGAGGCTCATTATACCTCTTTGGCACCATTGGCACATTTTCCCCATAATCAATTGGCTCAGGGTACCTCTGTGGCACGTTTAGCAAATCATCACCATAATCAAACTGACTCGGCCTTGAACCTGAACCAGACCCCGACCTCGACCCCGAGCCCGAGTGCGAGCCAGAGCCTGAGCTGTGATCACTACCCGGCTCAGTCACCCCCAGCTCACCTATGGGAGTGTCCCACAACCCCTTCTTCCCTACCATCCCAGAAGCTTGCGGCTTCATTGCCATTGCCTCTCTCTCCTTCTTGTCCTTCAACCTTCTATGACAAAACCACATCTGCAATTGCCGGTCTGTTAACCCCAATTTCTCTGATAGCTCGACCCGCGTTACCTCCGATGGGTACGTCTCCACTGCACAAATCACAAAAAACCAACACCACATTAATCAGAAACTCAAACGCACACAATTATATTCCAATATACAGACAAATCCAAATATTTACATATATACAAATTATCAGAACCTTTCATCGAATATGAATACAATTATGTGATTATACAGATGCAGGTGTACATGTTTGTTAAAATATTCTACATATACAAACCACAAAGAATCAAAACTTTACCAATCAAAAGTATACATCCTACACCAACCATCAGGAATCCAAACTTTATTAATCAAAAACTCATACATACACAGAATTACATATTCATATAATCACACACACAAAAACCCACACATACATAAATATTGATGAATTTAATCAAAAATACACATACTTGCATAGGTTTCTTCTAGGGTTTCCAATTGGAACGGCGTTTTCATCTGGCGTTTGGGCTTCTTCGGAGCCTCAGAAGGACTTCCGCCGCTGATTCTATTGTTCTCTTCCTCTTCCGAACCAGCCTCCATTGCAAAATCAATCACAGCTCACAAAAATTCTAGGGCTTCGTAAAAAATCACAAATACACAAACTTTCCCCCTCTCTTTCTCTCTAAAACTGCAAGATTTTTCTCTCCCTAACACAGCCGTGAGACCGAAGAAACCAAGAGAGAGAATTTGAGGTAAAATCGAGCGAATAACATGATGGATAACATTTATAGATACAGAGAGAGAAAGAGAGGTGTAGCCAATACCAATAATAATGATAATTAGGAGAGAAGAAAACAAAAGAATAATAATAACTGATTGATGAAGGGATTAAAGTGAAATTAAAAGGAAGTAAAGAACAGTCCTTCTTGGTTTCTTTCATCCTTTCCATTTATTCTTTTTTTTTTTTGGGTTTCTAATAATTTTTTGATATTCAAAAATTTACTTGATGACTTGACCCTGTGTGTGTGTGTGTGTGTGTGAAAACAATGCCTAAATGAGCAAAGAATAAAAGGGGGGGGGGGGTGTTTATTTAAATGGGGAGTTGTATTTTGGTCTTGTGTGTGTGTGAATACACCTTTTGGTGTGTGTGTTTTGGAATAAGAAATGGGACTAATTTTTTGTTTCTGGGTTTTTTTGGGTATTTGAGTTTGTGTGTGTGTGTGTGTGAATACACCTTTGGTGTGTTTGTTTTGGAATGAGAAATGGGACTATTTTTGGTTTCTGGGTTTTTTGGGGGTCTCTACCTTGTAATCTTTTGTTTGATGGTTTGGAATCTTTGGTGTGTCGATTTGGTAAATGGGTTGTGGTTTGTGTTTTTTGTGGGCCCCGTTATAATTGGGCTTGTGAGACTTGGGCCATTCAGATAGGCTTCTTAGTTCTTAAAATTCAGCCCACCCAAGGCTACGGTACTGCAGCGGTGTGTATCGGAAATTATAACTTTTTAAAATTAAATTATAATTTTTTTGAAATATAAGTTATAACTTGTAAAATGTATAATCAATTATAAAAGGTTGAAATCTATACCAAAAATAACAATTTTCAAGATTAAGTTACAACTTTTAAAAGTTAAGTTATAACTCATAAGAACATCTCCAACAGATACTTTAAATAGTCAAAATGACTAAAATTTAGTTAATCAAAACAAAAAATAATAATTCAGTAAAATATGTTCATACGTTGTAAAATAGATTTTTGTTACAGTAATACTCTGTATTTAGAGTATCACTGCCGACTACAAACATAATATATATTATTTTCTCCCTCATCATTGTCTTCCCTGTCATTGTTTTTCCTTCCCTCGTCTTTCCCGTCACTTTGTCTATCTCCCTCCAATAGTCCCAACAATCCACTTCATCTATCTCTCTCTTGTCCTGTTCTTCATCTCATGCACTGTTCATTGTACCATGAAGGTTACTGGAAGATTCAAACCTTGCGTGCACGTGGCCTCTTTCGACCTTTAGGTGTTTGTTGAAATGAACCAGCGTTCTAGAAATGCTAGCAATCTTTAATGATACTTCAGTTGGTCTTCTTCTTCTCTTTATAATTTTAACTCTGATTTTCTTGCCCCTGTTTTATAAGCTTGTTGAATGGATTCACAAGTGCAACAACAATACATATGTTTTCTTGCCCCTGTGTGTTATGACCTTGAGAATGATGATTGTTTCAAAATTTAGTTGTTGAAAAGAAAAATAATAAAAAAAATGAGAAATAATATTTTAAGAAAATAATTAAAAATATAAAAAATCTGTTGGAATGTATATTAAAAAAGTGAGTAGATAAAATAGAAAATATTATTTTTTGAGTAATTAAAATAGCACCAGTCTTTTTAATCCAAAAATTTAGGACTATTTCCTCTCCAGCACCGGTCTTTTTAATCCAACTAGTAGCGATCTTTGTCAAGAAACTGGCATGCTCATGGCTTTGACCAATAAAGATCCCAACATCAGACAAGTTTGATTCCATTCAATCTATTGCAACGATGATATTAAAATGTAAAATCATTAGATCAACGCCAACTTTTAATACTTATGCTTCGTTTGATAGGAAGTATAAAAAGTATGACGGATACACTTTATATTCTTCAAAGAAGAAAAGTAGAAATGATACATTTTTATTTCTTTTGTGTTTGATTGAATAGATGGAAAATAAAAATGACTATTTTTTTTTTGTGTTGGCTAAGATTAGGGGTAACAATTGAGTCGTGTCATATTCATGTTGAGTTAGGTCATTTTCAAATTCGTGTCGAGATATAATCAAGTTCGTGTCATAAAATTTGTGTTAAGTTTGAGTCGTGTCATCGTATTAAGTAGAAAATTTTCACTCATACCTAAGATGGAAAAAAATATTTTTTTAAATTTTAAATTTTAAATTTAATTTTTTAATAAATACATATTTTATTATTATATTTTTATATGAAATTAATGCATACATAATATATATATATATTAAAAGATATATAGACAAATAAAATATATCTCAACACAAATAATTAGTTTTCCATCCACTTTCCTTCTAATTTTGGAGGAATTGATTTTGGTGAGTTGCAAGAAAAGTTAATCCATCCACTTTTCTATCCTTCTTATTTTCCTTCCTTATCAACACATGATGTTTTATTTACCCCCCTAACTTTCTATCATTCTATTTTTCTATCATATTAAACGAAACATTAATGAAGACCACAGTCAATCTAAAGATCATAGTGAATAAAGTCAGTAAATAGATCAGTAAATTAGTTAATTTTTTTCTCTTTAATCACACAATTTAAAATTAAATGAACAAAAGTAAAATAAGAGAGTTAGGGAAAAGAGAAGACGGGTGTAAATATAAATAAGTGGGATTGTCTTACATAGGAAGTTGTACGGTGAAAAATGATGTTTTTTGCGAGAAAAGAAATTTGAAGATAAATTTTATATTATTAGATCAAAATAGATGAAAATTAGATCAATCTTAACCGTTGCTATATTTTTATAAGTTGAGAATTTAACTTAATAAATATAATATTAGATAGATTTGTCTCTCTAAGAACTTGGGCCTAAGGTCCATGGGCAAATTTTTGCTGTGGTAGGCTGTTGAGACTACTTTCAATCCCATCAACCCACAATCGTATTGGGCCTTGCCTTGCCTGCCCGTTGGGCACACTTACTTGTTTCTATACGGGCACAAGTCCAACCCTTACGTTTCGCGTTTGGCAATCATCCACTGCATTCAAGGATGATCAGCTGAAGATTCGGAACACACAACAGTAGTACTCTTCTTCCCCGCATACAACCAGAGTTCCCATCGGCCTCAGCTTTCCTTCGTTGGTCTCTCCATTTTACCACTAATATCAGGTCAGTCAGACCTAACTTCCAAGTTCAATTACACCCATGTATATATATGTATCGTTGTGGGTTTATAAAGCTGCATCTAGATTAATGGCCTCCAGCTGTTTGATGAAATGCCTCTGTTACAAATTCTGATTTTTTTTCCGCTTTTTTTGACACCATGATAAATTTTTGATTACTACATTATTTTACTTAACAAAAAATCTTATTGAGGGAAATGCGGTCAGTGGCATATTAGGTGATGTCATATAAAGGTATCTGGCAGAGTTGAGCCAGCATAAAACTTTATCTGATCCAATATAAAGAGTCCAAATAATGATATTTGGAAAAACTAGAAAGGATAGAGTATTAAATGTAGAAATGGTTGGAAGAGCTCTAATTGAGGACAAGTTGAGGGAGGATAGATTAAAGATGGTTTGATTATGTTCATGGCGGTCGACTGAGGCACCGATTAAAAAATGTGATAGAATTGCTCTTAACGGTGCTGGTAAGCCTAAATTAACATTGAACAAAATAAAAAGAAAAAATATGAAAATATTTAATTTAAATGAGTGTATAGCTTATGACCGATATGAATGGTATTGATGGACTTATATAGTCGACCCCAAATGATTAAGACATAAGAATTGATTTGATTTGGTTTGTTTTTTAGGTGCATATAAGATTTGGAGAATTGTAGTGTTAAAATCAGCAATGGAATTGTTTTTGAGATTGACTTTGGTACAAAATTTTCTGCACATTTCTAGGAAATGTTCCATGGTGAATGATCCTTGTTGAAGGATTGCTTTGATTTACGAAGTCAGAGTTGATTTATTTATGAGGTAAAACTATGAAGGGGATGCTTAAACTTTCAAATTTTTTAAGTTATTGGCATTGAGAAAGAATAGAAGCGTGTAGTTTTCGCAAGACTAGTTATAGAATGGAGTGTAATGTTGAATTGATGACTAGCGGATGCTTGATGGTGATCATTTCTACCATGTAGATTGATTTTTCTGATGGAAAGGGTCATTAAGAACTTTATAACTTAAGAGTAAGAACAAAGCAAAATGAATGACACGAGAAACCACTTTCCAAGTGTTTTATGATCATAACGTTATATTTAAACGAAAGGGAAATGTTTTATAAGACAATCACATATGGCCAAATATACTTTATGGTATGCAATGTGGAGCAGTTAAGAATTAGCATGTTCAAAGAATGAGTGAAGCTGGAATAAGGATTTTTTGATGGATGGTGGCTGCATCAATGAGATAGAACAAGAAGTGAATACTTTTGTGGAACTTAATAGGGGCACTGACTGAATGTGTGATGAAGAGAAGTCATCTAAGATTTTAAGGTAGTTGTCGAGATTAGTCGATGCACTGTTGAAGGAGCGATTTGTGTCTGCTTTTTTTTCCCTCTTTGGGTAGGAAAGATTGGTTTTAATCCAAGTTGAATATTACAAAAGGGCAAGAGGATGGCCCTGGGTAGAGATTATGAAAAAGTACTATGTTTTGAAAGTGACCGAAGATACGAGTTTTAATAGAGCAGACTGGGGAGAAAGACTCTAGAATTCAACCACAAGTAGTTGGGACTATAGGTGTCTATTTGCAAAAGAATTGAGTTATTCCTTGAGAGGAAAATAAAAAACCACCGACCTATTTGACTCATGTTTTGAGTTGTGAGATAAAAGTTTTGAGTTATGCTTTTATATCATACTACCTATAAAAGTACCTAAATGAGAAAAACTTTTAGTTTCCGAGTTTTAACCTTAACTAATGATATAAAGCCAAGTTTATCCATCATAAGTTCATAACAACCAAGAGACGGTGCCCATTTTGATTCCGTTTGATGAGTATTTCGGTTACCCAATCCTTCTCTTCTTACGTTCGTTGAAGAAGAAAGCGAAGGTCTCTCACATTATGCCATCAGCTTCAATTGGATGAAAGCTTCGAAAATCCCAATTGTATGTTTCATATTCCCTTCATAAAGCCAGTCCCTATTCCTCCCATAATTCTTTCTTTATTTTTTCTCTCTCTATCTCAATCTATCTATCATTTCTAGAAAGTCTATAGTCTGCAATAGACCATAGAAGAAACAAAGAATCTCTGGCCCAGTCCCTACAACAAACTCAAATCTCTGGCCCGCCATGACTATGAATTGCCGGATCGGCTGGGACTTTATGGTTCGCCATCTCTCACCCTTTTTCTGGTTTAGTGGTCGATTGAGCTTATATCTGGCCACACATTTTGAGCTATTTTAATTTATTTTGTTGCTACTTTATGATTATGCATAGACAAATCAGTGTTCATACAGTCTACATGAATTTTTCATTCTTCTTGGTTGCACAAACGAACAGCTACCTGCATTTTTTTCCATTCGATTTGTTATGCTATGTAAATAGTATCTTTAATTTATTCTTCTGCTATCTTTAATTTATTCTTTTGCTATCTTTAATTTATGCTTCAGAGTTCTTTCCATTTTTCTATGTTTTTTTCTCTTGTAATACCTTTGGGGATGGCAAGTCATCTACATTAAGGCTAGATGATCTACAATCCTTTACCTTTTCTTTATGTCCTTTTTTCAGTACTTTGTAATTAGTTGTAATTATTTGCAGGGTATATGGCGTGCATGCACTTCTTTTTCAGTTAATGGAATCTCTTACTTAACAATTAAAAAAAACTTGATTTTTGTTTGTTGGATTGCATTTATGAAAACTAGCTTAGCAATGTTGTTAAGCAAAGTCTGATATCAGTGCAAATAGTTGAATGTTGCATTTTCAAGGGAGATGAGTATGCTCAACATTAGATGACGGGAAAAAATTAGTAGGTTGCAAGCATAACTTAAAGTTCATTAGAAAATTACCGTACTCATAGAAAATTACCGTACTCATTGTTTGTCTACCTTTTTCCATGTGCAAAAAATAAAAAATAAAAAAAATTACAAGTTGTGTTCTTAATAAAGATGGTTGCCAATAGAAGGAAGATTTAGGCCATACCCTTGGCATCACCACATGCACGAAGATATCCCTCATTGGAGAATAATGTCCACAACAATTACTTACGTATGCATCTAGCATGTAGTTTTGTGTACCAAACTATTTATTTTTCATTGCTCCTTAACCTAGACATAACCTTGACTAACTCACTGGTTCCAGAATTACATGTATGGATTTTCAAATCAAAAGCCCAAGTTGAGTACATGGGGTTATTGTCTCCGAAGTTATGTGAGAAATCCTAGGCATGTAATCCCAACCAGCATGGGTGAATCAATAAGGGGAAAACAGAAATGTAAGAACAAAGAAACATTCCTCCTCTTCGACACTTACATACTCTAATCTATGAGCCACATTTTCTACATTCTTTCTATCTTTATATTTTCCTTTTCCTTAATTCTCAAATTTTTTCCTTTTTTGGGTCAATTTTAGCTTGCAATTTACAAGGTTTCGTTTCAGTGTATTAAATTCAAGAAATCATTCTGTGCAGGTACGACAATTTGATTTTTGCCTCTTATGGGTCTTTATTTTATTGTTTCTTGTTTATGATACTTGAATTTCAAGTATAACTCACAATGTTATTTTTTATGATTTCTTAGCGATTAACTCATTTTTTGCGGTGTAATTACAAAATAAGCCTTCAAATACTAGAACTTTGTTATTTTTGAATAATTGGTGAATTGATGAACCTCTTAATGAATCTGCATATGGAATTCTTGTTAAGTAGTTGTATTGCAAGTCAACATTGAAGCAAATGTGTTGGTAAGGCCATTGAGAAGTTGTCCAACTCTCATACTCTTTAGATCCATTGTGTCTTTGCTCAGGGGATTCCTTGATATTGATAATTGAATGTTGGAAAGATGGCCAAGATAAATGTGATCTTGTTATGTTGTTAAAGTGGAGCATTATTGTACTTTTCTTTTCAGGTTTCAATACTATTATATCATAAAAGAAGATCATCTCTTTGCAGTCTATTTTTTAGTACTTTCTTCGATTTTTCATTCTTATGTCAAAATAGTGCTTTGCACAAATAAATTGAATTTTGACTTTGATTTTTTTTCTTCTATCTCAATTATAGTTGCACATTGGTAGTGATTTTGTTTGAATTGCTTTGTTGTGATTATAAGTGGGTAGTTTGTTTTCTTTCATGTTTATGATTATTGAAGAAGAATTGTGTTCTATATAATTATTTATTGGATGTGCTCATGGAAATAGTTGTCGTTGGCCGCACCCTTATTTTGATTTCAATTTTGATTGAGAACAAGTTAGCAAGTGTCTTAAAGGAGACGGAAATTACATGAACTTGGAAGGCGACACATGACCTTTAGTCTACCCAGCTATTCCCTGTGCAGTTTTTTTTTTAAACATATACACAACAATAATGGGCACATTTGTGTTACCCATTTGTTGACGATTTTTCCTTTTTCTAATGTGTTTTATCTTTGGTGACTATCTCAACATGAGTTGTAATCATGATAATTACTCCAGCAGGTAATTTAAGTCGGGCTTGAATAGATTGTTGTGTTTTTTAGGTTATGTATATATACCATGTGATGCATGGACTCAGGAAAAATAACATCCATTTCAATTTATGTTATACTAAAGCATATTCAAAAGTTCAATCTTACCATGGATCATTTATTGAGTATTTTGAAGGAAATAAAAAGAATAAACTAATGGGTGAAGTGAAAGGGGCTTGCTGTGCTATTACCATTGGAGTTGGAGGTGAAAAAATTGGTGTCATTCTTGCAAAATATTGCCTTGGCAAAATGTCAAACTGCTATTTATTCGTATCGTATCGTATCAAAGTGGTATCGTAGAGTTATCCGCATTTACTTGATGATTCAATATCTGTTTCTTTGATGGTTTGTTTCGCCAAGATTTACTATGAGCTTCTCTACAAGGAAATAAGCAATAATCCTGCTAAAAAAAGAAAGAGAGTCAACTCATAGACCATGTAATTCAAACTTTGGGTGGCACAAAAAAAGTGTGACCCCACCTATATCGTGTCATTTTAATCTAAACTACCTTGTAGCAACAACTGCCTCATTTGTTGCGAGTGTTGAAATCCTACACCAAAATTTGAAGAACCTTTTAGTTAGTCATACAACATCTGGTAATCCTCTACTATATACAATATTTTTTGGACAAGATAAAGGAACATAGGTTTTTAAATGTATGTCTATTTAAAAATATAAATCTACCTAAAAAAGGTTTAATTAATTCTTTCACAGTTTAATAATGAAACCAATAATAAAATTATAACTCAAAATAATTCATATATAGTGTACATGAGCATTTGTATTTTGCATGGCGAAAAAAGTTTGTACTGTTTAGCCACGATTGGTCATATATTCCATAATTAACATGTTGGAATTTGTTTTTGAAGTTTATTTGTTATCATATAGTTTTACTCTAAATAATTCACATGCAACGCATGTGTGCATCTACTAGTATATATAAATTTGGCGATATTGGCATTCAACAGAGTCAATACTTTTGCTTATGTTTCTCATCTTTGTTGAAGTTTATACTTCTATTCCCATGTATATGGTGCAACTTTAACAGAATGATGAGTCACATTGTACTGTAGAATTTGGTGCCTCTGCTTTTTTGCTCAAGGATCTTTGGTTTGTTATGTCTCCTACAGAATGGTAAAATGACACAGATCCACTCTCTTGACTGAGTAGTCACATTTCATTTAGCTAAGCTTCTGATAAATCTGGGAAATCTGCTCAAGTTGGAGGAAAATTCTACCAAAAAAAGAGAAATTGCAGTAATGGGCAGCAAGACAATGATCAAATGGCCGAAGCAAATTACAACATCCCTAGTAGAGCAGCTGATTCGAGCAGAAAAGGATTTGCAGAAAGCTACTCTCGTATTTGATGCAGCAACAGCAGAGTACACGAATGGCTATCGGCATGATCACAGCACCTTTGGTCTCATGATCTCAAGGTTACTTTCCACAAACCAGTTTAGTTCAGCAGAAGATCTACTAAATAGAATGAAGGATGAGAAATGTAAGATTACGGAAGACATATTCCTTTCTATCTGTAGAGCTTATGGTCGAGTTCATAAGCCTCTTGATGCAATCAAGATTTTCCAGAAAATGAAGGAATATGAGTGTGAACCCTCCCCAAAATCTTACGTCACAGTATTTGATATTCTTGTGAATGAAAACCACCTAAAGATGGCTCTAAGATTTTACAGGTATATGAGAGAAAAGGGTATTCCTACCAGTGTTGCTTCCCTCAATGTTCTGATCAAAGCCCTCTGCAAGAATAGCGGAACCATTGATGCTGCTGTCCGAATCTTTCGCGAGATGCCCAATCGTGGGTGTACTCCGGATTCATACACATATGGTACTTTGATTAATGGTTTGTGTAGATCTGGGAAGATCAGTGATGCTAAAGAGATTTTCACAGAGATGGATGCAAAAGGTTGTTCACCTACTGTTGTTACCTACACTTCTTTGATTCACGGCCTATGTCAGTCAAACAATTTGGATGAAGCTATGGGATCATTCAAAGAGATGAAGATCAAAGATATTGAGCCCAATGTGATTACTTACAGTTCTCTAATGGATGGTCTTTGCAAGGGTGGACGCAGTCACAAGCCATGGAGCTGTTGGAGATAATGGTTCAGAAACGTCATGTGCCCAACATGATTACTTACAGCACCTTAATTCATGGACTCTGTAAAGAAGGAAAGCTTCGAGAGGCTGTGGAGATACTTGATAGAATGAAGCTTCAGGGCTTGAAAGCCGATGCTGGGTTGTTTGGTAAAATCATAAGTGGCTTATGTGATGTTTACAAATTCCAGGAAGCTGCAAACTTTCTTGATGAAATGGTTCTTGGGGGAATCTCTCCAAATCGAGTTACTTGGAGCCTTCATGTCAAGATTCATAATGCAGTAGTCCAAGGCCTATGTACCGACAGTGACTCTACTCGAGCTTTTCAATTATATCTAAGCATGCGCACAAGGGGAATTTCAGTTGAACCAAAAACCTTTAGTTCTCTTATTTCACGTGTCTGTAAGAAAGGAGACTTGCACAAAGCTACTAGAATTATTGATGAGATGGTGCTTGATGGGTGTGTTCCTGATGAGGGAACATGGAGCATGCTGGTGAGTGGATTTTGGGGTAGAAGGAAGGTGCGAGAAGCTGCTGACTTGGTAAAGGATGAGCTGATGGATGAGCCCATTGAGGCACCAATTTGAGGTTTTGCATAGGTGATCACCAGGGGTATGATTTTTATCCATTTACATAGCGAAATCTCAACACTTGGTTTTCTTGTATCAGGTCATTTCACCTGAGAAGCATGCATTCACTAGATCAGGATATCGTGAACATAAATTTTTTGGAAAAAAATAAAAGGAATATAGACGCCTAATTGCAGAATTCTAATATATACTGGAGTTGAGCGGTAATTATATATGTTTCCTGTTTTGCAGTGTCAGTTGCACTACTGCTGCATAAGTTGGCTGCAAAGTGTGTTGCATTGTGACCTGTACCTTCTTCAGCATTTCCTTTTTCCTCTTTTTGGTGATCTCTCTTTTGAAAACAGATGGGTTTTCGTCAAATGAGCTGTGTAAGTATAGTCTGAGCAACTGAGCTTGAAGTATTGAGTGCTTTTTAATACCTTTTTTGGGTTTGATGATTCTGAAAAAGGCAAAGATTTAGTGAGAATCTGAATTACTGTCATTTTGGTTGTGGTGGTGGTGGTTGTTTTTACTAAAGGAGCATCTGAATTAATTGGCATATAGAACCCAGAAAAAGTTTCTAAAAAAATTGCTGTTTGGTATTGAAATCTGCATTTCTTCTCCTTATTATTTTCTATTTTTTTGAGCAGTACAGTGCATATTTTTTATTGGAACTTACTCACCCTTCTGATAATTTTCTGATTGGTACTTACTCTTCAGTTTCACTTTTTGTCACAATAACTCTACTAATCAATTGTGCATGACATGATTTCCTTGCTGGTTTGAGCTTCCTTAACTGTGATGTATTTTAAAGGAAATATGCAGAAGCCCGTATTATGGGAATCACTGAGCCCTGACTACTTGATGGTACAATGGCCGATGGGTCTTGCTTCTATTGTACAAGAGATATACTGATGCCTGTTCTTGCCTACCAAAAATTCTCCTGTGATCTTAGCATTTGGAATGACATGATCGTGTGGGTTGATCAAGTTCCCTGCATCCCCCTGCTGCCGAAGGTTTCGCAAGGGAATAAAGAGGTCAACAGGATATACACCCTGAAGACAGCAGCAACTTCTCTCTGTAGCAACCCTTGAGGCCCCTGACGTGGTACAAGGTTATAGTGTCTTCTCTTCATTATGATCGCATGGCTCACAAAAGCAAGTTTCCTTTAAGGTTAGACAGCTATAATTTCTGGACCTGCAGATGCTGCTTTATTCTGAAGGTTTCTTTTACATATATTTAGACTTAAAAGGGATCATAGATTTCTTTATTTAATTCAGTCTTTTTTCTTAAAAGAAAAAAAGAGCCAAAAAGTAGACTAAATTTTATACCCTTGGAATGTTCTGGGACTCAAGTTGATTTTGGCATATCATTCTAGTGGAGAGGCACAGATGATGCATGCGAGAAACATGGTAGTAGTTATATAATTGCTGGGGGTGGAATTCCATGGGTAGTGGTCCTAGTGGTGATCAGGTGATGTGATGCATTTGCAACAATGTAATAGGATCGGGGTGCAATCAATAATTACCACATTTTATTGTGCTCATATTAATACTCACTAAACACCAACTTTCCACTGAATTAAATTAAGTATTATCATGACTTCAACTAATTAATCTGAGTAAGATATAAGGATAATCATGACATCATTTTTGAAAGGTATAGTTATTCATTACTTGTTTGGAGTTCATTCTCACGAATTCAAGCTGGTTTGATATAGCAAATATTATAACAGACGAGTTTTAGGTTTATTATTGTGTTTCACAAAGTTTACTCAAATTCTTATGCTACTTAGATCTTAAATTATTAGATATGACAAAATATGAAAACACCAAACTTTTTCAAGTCATTCATGCAATTATATTGGTGGAAATTCTTTTTCATGTATAAAGAGACCATAACTATAAGGTATAGATTTTGAAAGAAGTAACTGGATTAAAGATCGAAAGAGAACACAAGAAATAAAAAGAAAAAGTTGGTTGAGTTTACACAGTAAAATATTTTTATTCTTATGTTTCATTGCATGGAAATGTTTTGTGAACCTTGTATGGTGCATACTTCGGTGAAAAAGAGGCAAAATGTAATATTGCTATGCTAGGTAGCTACCCAATTGCCTCTTTGTGCTACAATCATAAATAATAGAAGCAGTGATTGGATTTAGTGTGACTTACATTTTTTTTTTTTT